CTGGCAGGCGGGCAGGCAGGCGGGCAGCGCCATGGGAGGCAGGCAGGCTGCTGCCATGCTGGCGCCCTGGTGCACCAGCCTGCCCGCAACCTCCAGCCTGCCTGCCGCGCCACGCGCACCTAGGTTCAGCGTCTCCAGTGCGGGGAAGGCGCCGGGGGCGGTCCAGGTGACGGGCACGCCCCCCGTCAGCGCGTTGAGGGATAGGTCCAGTACCGCAAGGTGTGGCAGCTGGGCCAGCTCATCCGGCAGCGACCCCTGGAGGCCGCAGTGCTCCAGGTGCCTGCACCGGCAGCAGCAGGAGCAGCGGCAGCAGCAGCAGCAGCTCATCCCTCCACACTGGCCGGCCGCAGCATGCAGTAGGGGACATGTCATGAGCATGAGCATGAGCATGAGCATGAGCATGAGCATGAGCATGAGCATGAGCATGAGCATGAGCATGAGCGTGGCACGCCGCAGCGGCCGGCTGGCGGAGGCGAGGCGCCCGCTGGGCTGCGGCCCCAGCTCACACTTCGGTGATGTGGCCGCCGCCGTCGCACACCACCCCTCGCCAGCCCATGCCCTGCGTGGCGTTGCCGCACACTGGCAGGCCGGAGACCCAGTCCGTGCCCCCCACGCTGCTGCAGTTACTGCTGGAGGTGGCCTGGTCCCAGTTGTTGATGGCAGCCTGCAGCCCCAGCAGCAGCTCCTCTGCAGGGGCGGCGGCGGCGCGGGACAGGTCGGGGGCAGGCACGGGTCACATTGCCCGCTGCAGGCGGGCATGCGGGGTGCGGCAGGCGAGGTGGCTGGCACGGTGCAGCTTCCATCTCCACCCACCATCGATCTGGATGAGATTCCGAGGAGGAGGAGGCTGGCAGCGCGCCAGCTGCCAGTGCGCCGTGGTCAGCACCAGCAACAGGAGCGCTGCCGGCAGCGGCAGCGGCGCACGTGGGGCGGGCACCGGCGGAGGAGGCATGGGAGGATGCCCACAGTCGATGCCGGGCGCTCACGCCCGAAATCCGAGCACCGAATTCGTGGCCATGAGGCTGCACAGCGTTTTGGATACGTCCGCAGCCTCCGCCGTGCGGTCGCCACAACTCTGTGCCGAGTGGGGCTCGAGACAACCCAAAAGTCTCAGGTTGTTAAGCTTGTCACCGAGAGAGCCGGGTTCGCTCGCTAAGGGCTCCAGTTCCGCAGCGCCCGGTCGTAGCAGGCTCCGCATGCAGCCCCGGCTCCCCTCTTTCACACGCCTTGGAGGGTTTCTCAAAGTCTCTTTTATCTGGGACAATTGGGACGAGTCTACCTGTGCAAATGGAACCTCCCCTGTGCACATGTGGCAACCCCGGCCTCCTCCGAGAGGTGCGCAAGGCTGGACCCAATCAGGGCAGGTGAGCGTCTCCTGGAGTCTTGCCTGGGGGCGTCGACCGCCCGGGAGGGCCGAGCAGCAGGCGCCGACGTTGCTGGCGCCGCCGCCCCGGCGCCCTTGCCGTCCGTTGCATATTGCTCACCATCTGCCTCTCTGCTGGCGTTGTCGCCCTCCAGGCATTTCTGGGGCTGCGTGAACTGGCCAGAAGGGTGCCGCCTGTTCAAGTGGGCCTCTGCTGAGGAAGAAGCGGCGGCGGCGGAGGCGGCGGGGAGCCAGCGCCAATCCAGCCAGGCGGCCCGCAGCCCCGCCTCCCAGCAGCCCTCCTGGCAGTCGCCCCACGCTCAGCCGCCATCGCAGCCGTGGCAGTCGCCGCCATCTGCGCCGCGCCGCCAGGCATACCCGTCCCAGCAGCAGCAGCAGCAGCAGCAGCAGCGGGTGCCGCCGCCGGCTTCGCCGCACCAGCAGCAGCAGCCGCAAGCGCGCGGCCCAGCCCCGCGCATCGCCAGCCCTGCCAGCCTGGCCGCCAGCGGCAGGCCGTATGTGCCGATGTGGGATCCCGAGGCGGAGGGCCCTCCCGGTGCAGCCTACCCACACGCATCCCCACAGCAGCAGCAGCAGCGACAGCAGCAGCAGGGGCAGGCTTCCCGGGGCGGCAGCCAGCCAGCCACGCCGCCTGGCAGCAGCCATGGGTGGGGCGGCCCGCCCTCGCTGGGAGGCAGCCAGCCGCAGCCGTCGCAGCAGCAGCACCCCCTGTACGGCAGGCCCCAGGGCTCCCAGCCGCCGTCGCAGCAGCCCTACTCCCCGCGGCAGGCCCAGGGCGCATCCCCCGCTGGGCGGGCAGCTGCAGCCGGGCCTTCCCCGCAGGGGGAACGCCTGAAAGTCAGCCTGCAGGTGGGTGGGCACCTGGCCCGAGGCTGGGCTTGCCAGTGTGTGGCTTGGGTGCACCCCTCCTTTTGTCGCCGCTAGCTCAGGGCAGGGGATGCCGGCGCGGCGCCAGGCCAACGAGAAGCACGCTGCAATTCGGTGCACTGGCCGACGCACCGGCACGCCCCACGCCGTGCAGGTGGTTGACGGCGACACCTTTGGCGCCGCCTTCCGCTACAACGAACCCCTCAAAGAGTTTGTGAAGTGAGCACTGGGAGGGTTGCAAGCAGGGAGGGTGGCGCCACGGGCTGCTGGCTGCTCAAACGCGCGAGCACCTGGCGCCCTCCGCCGCCGCTCCACCCTCACGCCCACACTCACGCGCACCGCCCGCGGCTGCCGCGTGCTCGCAGGTCCTTCCCGCGGCCCTACAACGGGCGCTGGGACCCGCAGCGCAAGCTGTGGACCTTCCCCATGCCTCACTACGAGGACGTGCTGCAGCTGCTGCAGGAGGTGGGCAGGGGTGGGCGGCTGCAGGGGCAGAGGCGCGTGTTGCTTGGAGACTGCTGCCCGCCGTCGCTGCCAGCGCCACGAGGGGCGGCCTGGTGGCGGCCTGGGCGCCGCCTGCTGCGCTGCTGCGCACTGCTCGGCCGGCCCGCCAGGTGTGCTGTGCATGACGAGGCTGTCTGCTCCCCTGCTCCCTGCCCGCCTCCCTGCGCTGCCGCAGCAATCGCCCGTGCCGCTTGCCCTCAACCCCATCCCGCCGGGGGCGCTGTCCAGGCACGCGCCCGCGCCGCCTGGGCAGCACCTGCGCCGGGGGATGTCCGATGCGCGGCCTGGGAGCCGCCTGCGCCTGCCCTCCGCCGCGCCTGTCCACCGCTCGTACCTGCCGTGCCTGCCGTGCCGCCACCGCGCCTTCGACTGCCGCAGGTTTGAGCAGTCCCAGCAGGTGCAGCACTTGAGCGAGGACGAGGTGGACGATCGCCTCGCCCGCCTGCCCAGCGAGCTGTGGAACAGGCTGTATGGGTGAGCCCAATGCTGGCTGCAAGCGTGGCGGCCAGGGAGTTGGGGGCCGGCCGCTGGCGGGCGCCAGCCTGGCTGCCAGCTGGCGGGGCGGGTCAGGAGCTCGGGCCGGGGCGGTGCTGTGGGCGCCCACACAGCCGAGCGGCGGGCAGCCCGCTGCCATGCTTCCGAGATGCTGTGATCCCCCAGACCCGTGGCTGTGCTCTCCACACTGCCTCGCCTGCCGCCACACCCAAGCACACCGGCTGCCGGCCTGCCTGCTCCCCCGCTCCTGTGCAGGTTCCAGCGGGAGGGCGTGGGGCGGGGGGTGGCCCTGGGAGGGCGCGTGCTGCTCGGAGACGAAATGGGACTCGGGAAGACAGTGCAGGTGGGGCGCTGTGGCGCCACTACGCCATGCATGTGCCCGCCTCCCACCCGCAGGCCGCACTGCTGCACACGCGTGGGTCGACCCTGCCGTCTCCACTGTCGGGGCAAGGCCCCACACCGCCAGCACCGTCTCTGCCCGCTGCTGTGCTAGCCCTCCTCGATCCCCGCCCCCACCCCTGCCCCCGCCCCCGCCCCCGCCCCGCCGGGCGCAGGCGCTCTGCATCGCGGCCTGCTTTGGCCCCGAGGACTGGCCCCTGCTCATCATCTGCCCCTCCACCATGAAGCTGGTGTGGCAGGATGCGGGTGGGTGGGCGCCGCCGCACGCGGGCGGGCGGCGGCCCGGGGAAAGGGACACCCTGCCCGCTCCCAGGCTCCAGCCGTGCCCGCTCGCCTCTCGCCCATGCCCAGAGAGGGCGCCACGCCTCTCCAGCCTCCAGCAGCCTTGCACCTCTCCTCCTGCCCCTGTTTGCCCCTGCAGTGCGCCACTGGCTGCCGCCTGACCTGACCCCCCGCCCCCACAACCTGGCTGTCATCAAGGACGGGCAGGTGGGGCGGCGGCGCCGGCTCTCTCGCCCCTCGGCCGCAGCAGGCACCGGCAGGCGCGCCCCTGGCGCAGCCCCGGCGCCCCGCGGCCAGTCACTCCTCTGTGCCTGCCTGCCTGCCTGCCTGCCCCGCACTACAGGGCATCGACCAGCTTTTGGGGCGCATGGACCAGGAGACGCCTGTGAGGCAAGCACGGGGGGGGGGCACCTGTAGAGGTGGCTGGCTCCGCTTCCCCAGCAATTCGCTGCACGGCCTGATGCCCCCCCACCGCCACCCCCACCCGCCGTGCCCTCCCATCCGCGCAGCCCCCACTCGCATCTCGTCTCTCGTCGTGCCTTTTGCGTGCCCCGCAGGGTGTGCATCGTTTCTTTCGACGTGGTCAAGAAGCTGGGGGAGCGGGTGGGGCAGTACCGTACCGTCATCGCGGACGAGAGCCACCACCTCAAGGCAAGCTGAGGCTGGTGGGCTGAGCGGGCTGAGTGGGCTGAGCCTGGCATGGCTGGCCGTGCCTGGCATGGCAGGCAGGCAGAGCAGGCCAGTGGAAACGCGAGAGAGGGTGGTACTGGCGCATGGGTGGGGCCGCAGCCGCCACCGGGAGTGCCGCCTGCCTCCTCACTCCCTCCCCACTGGTCGCGCGCTGCGCCGCCATGCGCCGCCTGCAGAATCTGGACACGCAGCGCACCCAGGCGGTGAAGGCGCTGGTGGAGAAGGCGGCGCGCGCCATCCTGGTCACCGGCACGCCCGCCCTGTCCCGCCCCTGGGAGCTCTACCCGCAGGCAAGCCTGATATGAGGGGCCGGGATGCGCGCAAGCGCCTGGGCGGCACAGCTAGCTGCACGGGTGGCCCTCTTGCCGTGCTTGCCTGCGGTGTGGCGTTTTGTTCTTCGCTCTCCGTTCTTCAGGCTGCTCTGGCCTGGGTGCTGATGTGGGCGTGGCGATGCGGCTGCCCGCCTGCCGTGCAGATCAGCATGCTGCGCCCCGGCTTCCTGGGGGCGCCTCAGGAGTTTGGCCTGAGGTGGGCGCGGCTGCCTGGCTGCCCGCTTGCCGCGCCTGCACCGTTGGAGCCGCTTTGGGCTTTGGGCTGCTGTGCTGGCCTGTCCAGCCTGCACCATGCAGCATCTTTCTCCCCACCCATCGCACCGCAGATACTGCGACGGCAAGCCTGCGCAGTACAACATGCAGGCCACGTACCGCGGCTACGACTTCAGGCAGGCGCAGGGAGCGGGGCTGCGCAGCGGCCGTGGCGGCCGCTGGCCGGCGGCCGCCGCCGGGTGCCCAGACCCGGCCCCCCAGCAAGCAAGCGCTGCATATGTGCAGTCTGCTGCTTGCTGCGGCCCGCCCGCCTGCCCGCAGGGGCAGCAGCAACCTGGTGGAGCTGCATGAGCTGCTGGAAAGCCACATCATGGTCAGGCGGCTGAAGAAGGACGTGAGTGGGGGGAGCCTCGCCCCGCTCTGCCCGGCGCTGCCCCCACCCCCTGCCTGCCTGGTGCTGTCTGCTGGCGCTGGCGCCTGCCTGCTGGGGTCACAGCGTGCACCTGGCATGATGCCCATGGCACGGCCGGTGTGCCCCCCTCCCCCTGCACCCCTGCAGGTGCTGGACGACTTGCCGGATAAGATCCGGAAGCGCATCCCGATTGAGCCCGACCCGGCGCACGTGTGAGTGATTGGCGGCCCACCTACCCCCTGCCTCCAGGGGCGTGTGATGTGGCTGGCGGCACGTGTAGCGGCGTGTGCGGCTTCCCAACGCCGCCGCCGCTGATGGTGTGGCTGGGAGCGACACTCCCTTCCGTCCTCCCATCCTCTGCTTGGCCGTTCCTGCGCGCCCGGCTGCAGGCCCGGGCTGCAGAAGACGGTGCGCGAGATGAAGCAGGTGGAGCAGGATGAAGTCGGTGAGCGCGCGCGCAGCCGCCGCCGCCTGCCGCTCATGCTGCCGCTGCAAGGCACAGATGCAGCTCAAGCGCGGCGCAGCGCAGCTGGCTGGCTGCGGTCGCGCCTGCCCGCAGACAGGGCGCCGGCGCATGTGTGCCGCGCCGCATTGCACCAGCTGCGCTGCTCTAACCGCTGGCCTGTGCGCCCTGCTCGGCGCCGGCCCTGGGCCGCGCCCTGCAGGCGGGCGGATCAGCGGGGAGGAGGCGGTTAGGGCGCGGCAGCAGCTGCTGAGCGAGTACTACAGGCGCACCGGCCCCGCCAAGGTGCAGGACGCCCGGGCCCACATCGTCAGCCTGCTGGAGGCAGGTAGGGCGCCCGCTTGCCCCCTGTGAAGCAGCCCCGCTTATTTCCCCCACCCGCATGCCCACCTGCTGACCCCGCTCTCTCCCCTCTCCGGTGACCCCGCCCCTGCCCTCCATCTCGCCCCCCATCCCCACCCACCCACACTCACGCGCGCGCACACGCGCGCGCGCACGCGCGCACACACACACACACACACGCACACGCACACGCACACGCACACGCACACGCACACGCACACGCACACACACACACTGCCCGCAGGCGTCAAGGTGCTGGTGTTTGCGCACCACCAGGCTGTGCTGGACGGCCTCCAGGCGGCGCTGAGGGAGGAGCAGGTGGCGCACGTGCGCATCGACGGCCAGGCAAGTGCGCCGCTGGCGGCGGCAGCCAGCTCGGTGCGTGGCGCATGCGGCGCGCGGGGAGGCAGCCGGCTCTGTGCCGCGCCTCGGCGCTGGCGCCGCGCCCGGGCTCGCATCCTGCGCCACGCCCTGGGATGGACGGATGCATCCCGCGCCGCACGGTCGCCGCCAAATGCATCCCTGCATAGCAGCCAGGTGTTCCAGACCCGCCCCTCCCTTCCCCCTCCCCGCCCTGCCTACCCGCAGGTGTTGAACGAGCGACGCAAGGCGGCGGTGGACACGTTCCAGCGGGACCGCGCCTGCCGCGCCGCGTTGCTCTCCATCACCGCCGCCGGCACGGGCATCACGCTCACCGAGGCGCAGGCTGTTGTGTTTGTGGAGCTGTACTGGAACCCGGGGCAGCTGGTGCAGGTGTGGCGGGCAGAACCTGGGCGCTGCGCTGCATGCCTGGCTACCGGCGGCACGTGGGCAGCTGCCGCGTGCCGCGCCGGCGCCGCCCGCCCGCACGCCCGCCCGCCACGCCCGCCCGCGGCGCTGCGGTCGGTCTGCGGTCTGCGCCACCCCCCACAGCCCTGCCCCTCGCCCCGGCAACCTTGTGCCGGCCAGCAACGACAGCACAGCGCCAGCAAGCGCATCGGAACGCATGTACCGCCCCGCCCTGCCTGCTCCCCGCCTGCAGGCGGAGGACCGCGCCCACCGGCTGGGGCAGCGCCGCGTGCTGGAAGTTCATTACCTTGTAGCTCCGGGCACAGGTGCGCCGCCAGCCAGGGTGCCCATCCAACAACAGTGCAGCCGCAAGTGCGCCTGCGTGGCACCTGCGTGTGCGCCTGCGGGTCCGCTGGGGCTGCCTGCCGGTGGTGCCGGCGCCGTGATACTGGCGGGGTGCCTGCCGCGAGCCTTCGCTGCGCCCTGTGCCGGGGCGGGTGGCGCCGCTCGGACGCCTGCCCGCGGCGCCCGCGCAGCCTGTGCTGCTGCGACTGCTACAAGCCATGCACTGACGCCTGCCCCGCCCCGCCTGGCCCGCTTGCAGCGGACGACACCATCTGGCGCCTTTGCCAGCACAAGCTGGGCGTGGTGGGGGGCGCAATGGGGGAGGAGGACGCTGAGCAAGGTGGGGAGGGGGGCACGGGGCGGCCGCACACTGCGCAGGCGGTAGAGCAGCCCCTCCTGCATGCCCAGCTGGCGGCACCCCATGCCGTGCCTGCCCTGCCGCCTTCACCCCAGCGTGCCGGCTGCCACCGCTCACTTGCCTGGCCGTGCCGCCCCTGCGCTGCAGCCTTTGGCGCGGTGGGGTCGGCTCAGAAGTATCGCTCCGCCGGCGAGCGGCTGGCGCAGGTGGCCGAGCAGCAGCAGCAGCAGCAGCAGCAGCAGCAGCAGCAGGGGGCATCGCAGGAGGAGGAGGTGGTTGTCATCAGCGACAGCGATGAGGACCCACTCCCGGCTGCAGTCAGGCGCAGAGCAGGCGGGGGCCGCGGCGAAAGCACCGTGACCGAGGTTCTGAGCGATGGAGAGGAGGAGGTGGCGGAGATGGGGGCGGGGCGGCGTGCAAAGCGGGAGCAAGTCGAGCGCGCGGGTGGCGACGAGGATGAGCCCCCGCTGCAGCAGCGGCGGCGCCTGGCTCCCGCCCCGGCTGGTCCTTTGGACGATGCGTCTGTGGTCCTTTTGTGAGCAGTAAGCAAGGGCTGCCGGCATGCTGCGGTGGCTGGAGAGACGATCGGGTGACATTTGCATTGGAGCCACGACTTCCCCCCAGGTTTAGCATTCTTCATTGTTTCTTTCCAAAAAACTAGTCCATGTCACCCTTTGCTGAGACCAAGCCACGTGTTCATCAGTTGGTACGACGTTGGATTGTTTGCACATGCATGTATGAACTGCCTTGAGCGTCGGATCGGGCTGGCGGCCGGGACGTCACACTGCTGCCGGTTAGCCACGCGGCGCTTGCAGCAGAAGAGGGCAGGAACGGGAGGTGGCTGGGCACCGCAGCAGCTCGACAGAACATGCATGAGCTCGGTGTCGGCATTTCCCTGGGGCCACTGCTGAAGGATGTGAGTGGAGGTGCCCGACTGCGCCGCCTGGCGCCACTGCGCGCTGGTGGTCTGCATCAGATCAGCGGGCCACAAGCGGCATGGTATGTAAACCGTGGAGCAGTCCCTCAATCACCAACGAGTGGCAGAAGGGGCTGCGCTCGCTGTTTCGGGAAAGGAAGGGGCTGCGCTCGCCGCTTCGGCCTGTAGGTGGACGGCCAGGTGCGTCACTGCCGGGCTGCTTTGATGCACAGCACGCTGCTTGCTTGGAGGCAGGGGCCCCGATCAGTTGCTGTAGGGGGTCATGCCAATTGAACCTTGGCGCGGGAAAACCCTTGTGCTGCTCGTGCAGCCAATTGGCCATTACGCCACAGCTCTACTCCTTGAGGCGGCGCACCATGCAATCAGAGCCGGCAGAGGAGCCGGCGGCGGCGGCGGCGCTAGTGGCGACAGCACCATGGCCGGCAGTGACGGCGCCCCCAAGCGACAGCCGGCTGCCTGCCCCCACTGCCACCTCTGAGCTGCAGCAGGACAGCGCGTTGTGTGGCAGTCGGGCGACCCGGCTGCAGCAGCTTGTTCGCCGCATCTTGAAAGTGGGCCAGGCAGCGACGGAAGTCAAGGTAGAGGATGAGCAACAGGCAGCGACAGAAGCGAGCGCTGGCAACAAGGAACAAGCCGAGGAGCCGTCGCAGCCGGAGCAGCCGCAGCAGCAGCAGCAGGAGCAGGAAGAGCAGCTGGTGCAGGGGTCGCAGCAGCAGGAGGCGCCGCCGCAGCAGCGACAGCAACAGGAGCAGCTGCAGGAGCCGCAGCTGGAGGTGGATCGGCAGCCAGAGGAGCCGCAGGAGGCGGATCGGCAGCCAGAGGATCCGCAGCAGGAGGCGGATCAGCAGCCGGAGGATAAGCAGGAGGCTGCGGAGGTGGCTGCGGTGCCGGAGCTGGCGGGCGGCAGTGCCGCTGAGCCACCCATGGCGCTGCTGGGAGTGGACCGCGCCGCCGCCGTCCGGTGGAACGCTCGCTGCCGGCTGAGGCTGGACAGCGCGGGGCGGCTGACAGGTGCTGTGCAGGGGCGAACGCACACGCACGGCCCGGCAGGGTCAGGGCACCCCTTGGCCGCAGCTGCTCATGCCTGCGCAGCTGCATGCAGCCGGCTGGTCACGAATCCCTGCTTTCCTCCCTGCCGCGCAGCATCCGACACGCCCGAGCAGTATGTTGTGGAGGGGCTGGCCAGCTGGGGCGAGGCGGCGGTGGCGCGGGACCTGTTGCTGCTGTGGCGCCGTGCCGTGGGCCCGGGGCCGGGGCGGCGGGGTTACTTCTCTGGTGCCCTCGCTCGCTTCAATTGCCCCGCTGGGCACAGGTCAGGCCCCACCCTTGCCCCTGCTGCGCACCGCGCCTCTGCCTCATGAGCTGCAGGGCGGGGCGCTGCTGCCTGCCCTTGCCCCTGCTGGGTTCCCTGCCTCCCTGCGGCTCGGCCAGCCCGAGCGCGCCTAGCACTAGCCTCCCCACGGCATGCCTCCCGCTGGCCTGCCCCTGCAGGCTGGCGGCAAAGGCTCCAGGGCTGGGCGCCCGCCTGCGTGGCTGCGCCGCCTGGGGCCAGGTGCACGCCCTGGTGCTCGGCATGGCTGCCAGCGGCGAGCTTGCACGCCTGGCAGCCGCCGCGCTGCCGCCGCCGCCGGTGGCGGCAGGGCCTGGCAGCGGGAGGAAAGACGATCGAGGGACCAAGAGGAGGGCAGCTGGTGGACCCCAGCAGGCCCCAGCAGCAGCTGCCAAGGCGCGTGCCACAGCTTCGGCGCTGAACCAAGCCTCGGCAGCAGGCCCGGCACCGTCCATGGCAACCGCAGCTGGCCCAGCCGCTGCGGCGGCGGCACGGACACGCGGCGCGGCCGTCGCGGCCCCTGCCGCCAGCACAGGCAGCGGGCCGGCTGCGGGCAGCGGGTGGCCCGCAGGCGTCGGCTCCCGCCACGGCGGCTGGTCGGCACGGGTGTTTGCTGCTCTGGATGCTGAGGGGCGGCCATCAGGTGCGGCTGCTACTGAAGGCCACTGTTGCTGCTGGGCCGCCCCTGCTGGGTGCAGGGGCACTGCTTTGCTGCAGCGCTGCCACCTGCACCACAAGCCTGCATGCCCCTCTCGCTCGCTTGCTGATCCAGAGACCGCGCCTGGTGGGGAGCGTGCCGTGGGCCTATTCAGCAGCAGGGAGCAGGCGGCTGTGGCGCATGACCTGGCACTGGCGTGGTGCCAGCTGGCAGCTGGCGCCAGCCTGCAGGCTGCTGCCGCTCCCTACAACTTCACCCTGGCCAGGTGAGCGGCGGGCGCCTGCTTGCTCCCCAGCAGTTTATCGCCTCCAGGGCCCCGCCATGCAGCCAGCGCCAGCTGCCATGCATGTGCCCATTGCGTGCTGCCGAGGGCAGCCTGGAGGCCCGGCGGGAACTCCTTCTGAAGGGCTGCCCCGGGTGCCTGGGACTGCATGCCGCAAGCCAACCGCTTGCTCCTCTCTTCCCTCTGCAGCCTGCGCAAGCATGCTCCGCTGGATGAGCTGCAGGGGTGCAGGGCCTGGGGCCAGCTGACCTACCTCCTGCGCCGCATGGCGGACAGTGGCCGCCTGCGCCGGCTGGCTGCCGCGCTGGCGCCGGCGCCGGCGCCCCAGCAGGCGCCCGCCACAGCGGCGCCCAGCGGCGCGCGTCAGGCACCCGCCGGAGCTTCCAGGCCGCCCAGGCAGGCTGCCTCGCAGCCTGCTGGCGCATGGAAGGGTCTCTTACACACCCCAAGCGGCAAGTGGCAGGCGAAAGCCACACTGGGCCTGGACACCGCAAAGCAGCCTGCAGGCAAGCCAGGGCCTGCCTGTGTGGGCAGCCTGCGGCATGCCCCAGCCCTCACGGTTGTTGGCTGCATTCTCCCATGCCTCTTTCTTGCCCATCGCGGCAGCACGAGGACACAGGAAAACACCCGCCCAAAAAACAGATTGGTTCCTGACCCAGTCTGTGCTGTGCCTGCGCAGCCTCTGCCATCAGGACGAGTTACTCGCTGTCGTGCTACGAGACCCAGGCTGTCGCGGCGCTGGCGCGGGACCTGGGTGTCGTTTGGGAGCAGCTGCGCACAGGGAGGGAGTTGGAGAGGGCACCCGTGCAGTACAACTTCCCCCTCGACAGGTGGAAGCCGCCTGGCAGCCGCCACCCTTTGAGCCAGCCCCATCAATGGCAGTACAAGCACAAGCACCGCTCCTGCCTTGCTGCCGCCGCGGCAACCTGTTTCGTGCCACGGCGCACGAGCTTGACGGTGCTTTGCGGTTGTGCGCCCTCCCCTGCAGCCTGCGGCAGCAGACGGCGCTGCTGGCCAAGCTGCGGGGCTGCGCCGGCCTGGCAGAGCTGCGCTTGCTGCTGGCAACCACGGATGCCAGCGGCGCGCTGAAGCAGCTCGCTGCCAGCTTGGCAGGAGGGAAGGCGGGAGAGGAGCCAGAGGAAGGCGCGGCCGGGGCTGGCCTCGCTGCAGGGACTCGACTGCCCAATGGGATCTGGCGGCCCAGACTGTATGTTTGCCTGGACGCCTCTGGGCGGCCCACAGGTCAGTGCCCCGGCCCCAGCCACCTGCCCTGTGCGGAGCAGACTTCTGCGGGATGGCCTCAATGCTGTGGGCTCCACACGCGGCACACACACATGGGCTCACCATGCAGCCAGCATTGCGTGCCTGTGCAGCGGGCGGTGCCTCCGGGCACTCGCTGGGCCAGTTTGGCAGCCAGGTGGGGGCCGCCGTGGCGCACGACCTGGGGATCGCGTGGCGCCAGCTGGGCACCGGCGCCGAGCTGGAGGAGATGGCCAGGCACTACAACTGGCCGCCTGAGCGGTACGCTGTCCTTTTCTCATCCGTGTGTCAGGTCTTTGTGTCAGGCTCTCCCGTGCCATGTCCTGCGTTGCCGATGACTGGTCTCTGGTCATTAATGGCGGGGGCGGCGAGGTGCGGCAGCAATGATGTGCTCCCTCCCTGCCTCGCCTGCAGCCTGCGGCGCCAGAAAGGGCTGCTGGCCCAGCTGCGGCAGTGCGGCACGATAGACGAGCTGCGGTCGCTGCTGAAGAGGCTGGAGGGCTCTGGCGAGCTGCACAGGCTTGCTGCCAGCCTGGGTGGGGCCGCCGCCGCCGCTGCTGCCGGCGAGCCGGGGTCAGCAGCGGCTGGCAAGACCACAGCGGGCGCGCGGCGGCGGCGGGGCGCTGCGCCGGCACCTGGCGACGCGGACTTGCAGCCTCTGAGGGGGGTGTGCACCCGGGGCAAGGGCAAGCCTGGCTGGGAGGCGCGGATCCATTTTGCACTAGACGCTGCTGGCAGGCCTTCGGGTGAGCGCATGGGCGTCTGCTCGGGGCCGCTGCCCGAGGCTGCCAGCTTGGTTGCCCGCATGCCGACCCAACAGCCGCCCTTGCTGGCACCCCTTCTGCCTTGGCTCCAACGGCGAATTGCCGCTGGCGTGGTTGCCTGCGCGCATGCCTCACTGCTGCCTGTGCGGCCCCTGCCTGCCCCTGCAGCCGAGCGTGCCACCACCAACCGTTACATGGGTACCTATAGCACCAGGGAGGAGGCGGCTGTGGCGCATGACCTGGCGCTGGCGTGGCGCCAGCGGGCGGCCGGTGCAGACATGCAGGCTGCCCGCTACAATTTTGGCCTGGCCGGGTGAGGCCTGGTTGCTGCTGCTGCTGCTGCTGCTGCTGCTGCCCTCTTTTGCACCGGCGATAGGGAGTGCTGCTGCCGGCTGGGAAGCACCGCTGGTTGGGCAGGCCTCGGGGCGCCTTGGCGGGGTGGCTCGGTCCTCCCTCTGTCCGGCGCTGTTGGCAGGCAGCTGCTGCACACTTCCGCTGCCGTCGGGCAAGGCGGCGACCTGCCTGTGCCGCTGCCGACTTTCTTTGCCGCCGCTCCCGCCCTGGGGCGCCACCGCACCCTGCCTGCGTGCAGCCTGCGGCGCCACAAGCTGGTGCTGAGCCAAGTGCTGCGCTGCGCCACGGCGGATGAGCTGCGCGTCCTGCTCAAGGACCTCAAGGCGTGCGGCCAGCTGGCCCGTCTGGCGGCCAGCCTGGCACCAGACGCGACGGGGGGCGCGCGGCGCGGCCGCGCGCGGCTCGCGCCGCGCGCCGCGTCCCCCGCAGCCTGGGACGCGGCGGCGGCGGCGCAGCAGGAGGAGCGCCAGCTGCTGCAGCAGCGGGTCAAGGGGGAGCCTGGGGAGGAGGGGCAGGGCGGCGGCAGGCACGGCGGGCAGGCCGCGACGGGCCGCCGCGTGCGCCTCTGGCTCCAGCTGGACGACGACGACCAGCTGCAGCAGTTTGAGGGGCGGGTGGCTGAGTACACGCCCACGGGGTGAGGCAGGGAGGGGGAGGGGGAGGGGCACCCTCTCATGCGCGATGCCGGGCACCCGCGCTAAACAATGGGCCCTGTGCTGCATTCCGCTGGCGCTGCGTGCGGCGCGTGCGGCGCGCTGGTGCCCTGCTTCCTGGCTGGCTGGCGAGCAGGCGGGGCGGGCTGCTGGCGTGGCCTCCAAGAGGGGCCGCCCCGCTGGCCCACCCCGTCTCCATGCTCCCTCCCCTCCCCTCCTGTCCCTCGCCCTCTGTGCTCCAGCAAGCACCACATCATGTTTGATGACGGCGATGAGGCGCTGGTGGACCTGGCCAGCACCAGGTTTGAGTTCACCGACAGCGCTGGCGCGCAGGGCGGTCCGCCCCCGCCCGCGGCGCCACCTGCGGCGGCGGCGGCGGCGACGGACCCGGCCTCTGCGGCGGCGGATGTGGGGCAGAAGCTGCACGTGTGGTGGCCGCAGGACCGCCTGTACTACCTGGCATGTGTCACGCATGTACTGCGCAACGGGTGTGTTGAAATTGCTTCGGCCTTGCCAGAGCACTGGCCTGTCTGCTGCCCGCGCCATCCCATTAGAACAGCCCGCCTGGCTGGCGGCACCAGGCCCGCACGCCTGGCCCCCCGCTTGCCGCCATGCGCCTGGCCCCGCAAGCCGCTTGGTGGCCCGTGGTGAGCGTGCCGCTGTACTGCTGAGCGTATTGCAGGATGTACTGCATACGGTACGACGTGGATGGCATGGAGCTGCTGCTGGACCCGCTGGAGCAGCGGGTGCAGTGGGCCTGGCTGCCGCGGCAGCGCCGACACGAGCGCCAGCTGCGCGCCCTGCGCCAGCGGCAGCGCGAGGCCGCGGTGGCGGCGCGCGTGGCCGCGCGCGCGGCAGCGCAGGCTGGAAAGCAGCCTGAGGAAGAGCTTGGCGAGGAGGGGGAGGAGGAGGCTGGGGAGGAGCAGCAGCAGCAGCAGCAGCAGGAGCAGGAGCAGGAGCAGAGTGGTGGCACGGCAGCGGCAGCCGCCGCCGTGCAGCAGGCAGGCGGCGGGCGGCGCAAGCAGCCGCGTCCGCAGTCGCTAGCCGACGCTTGGCTGGGCGAGGCCAAGCGTCCGCGCCTGCACGCACCCCCGCCACGGCAGAACCGGCAGGCCCAGCAGCTGGGGCCAGGCCTGCCGGCGCCGAGCAGCCTGGGCCTAGCCGCGACGGCTGCTGTCGCGCTGGCTGGGCCCGAGGAAGCCACCGCTGCTGCGCAGCCTCCCGGTGCAGCAGCGGGCGGCGGCGGCGACGGCGGCGGCGACGCTTCCGACCTGTTTTTGGACATGCTGGATGCGGCTGCCGCGCCTGCTGCCACTAACACCGGCCTCAGCACCGAGCTGGTGGGCTCCTTCATGGCGCTGCTGGACACGCTGGGGGAGCGGGAGCGGGGCGAGAAGGTGTGTGCGTGGTGGCGGTGGCGGCGGCGCGGTTGCATGTGCGCGTGGTGCTGGTGATCGAGGGGCTTGCGGGGCCTGCCACCAAGCAGGGCTGCTGGCTTGCGGGGCCGCCCGCTGCGCGCAGGAGCGGCGCCTGCGCGTGCTGCTGGGCATCGGGCAGTACAAGGGCGCGGCAGCCATGATGCAGACGGCCGTCAACCTGGCGCTGTCCAGGCTGCCAGCCTGATGGCATTAAGTCTGGGCCAGCCGCAGCTCCGGGACACATGTCATGCGAGTGGTGGAGGCCCTCTGTCGTCAGCCAGGCCTGCACCGCCTTGATACCGCCCCATCTACATCGCCTGTAGCACTCAATACGCATGTGACAGGTTACACTCTGAAATCCAAGGGTTCCACGCCCCAACCACCTGTCAACTGCGCACCGCGGGCTGAGCTGGCAAGTTTGCTCCACCCTTCAAACAATCCTGGCCTTCCACTGCCGCTTTAGCACACACGCAGCGGTGTCAGGGGGGCTGCTGCAGACGCCAGCCGCAGCGTCTGTCAGCTGCAGGCCGGCGGCGTTACGTCGCTGCAGGCCCGAACGTGGTGCTTTGCTGCCCACCAGGGTGGCACATCCGATCAAAGACCTCAGGTGGGCGCAGGGGTTTACGGCCTGTTGGCAGTCAAACTCGAGATGCTCACAACCTGTGCTTGAGGCCGCCTTCTGGCCTGCCCACAAGCCCGATGATGGTGCAGTGGTGTGGGTTTCAGCCCATGCGCTCGCCCGCATCACCAGCGCCCTGGACGCAGTTGGCAGTGGGCCGCGCCCCGAAGCCCACTCCTCTTCCGCATTCCTGATCGCAGCGATCGCCTGTGTGCATGCGCATGCATCCGTTTGAAATGACGCGGCACCCCCGCCTGCCCGCGGCGGCGCTGGCGGCGGCGGCGCTGGCGCTGCTGGCGGCGCTCCCCCGCGCCGCCGCGCACGGCTTCCTGGCCATGCCCGCCGCCCGCAACGTCATCCACTCCACCTACTACCCCCGCGCCGCCGCGGAGCGGGACAGGTACGAGGAGAGCTACTGGAACTACTGCCCGCACTGCCTGGCGGCGGGCGGCCCGGGCCAGGTCAGCGGCGGCGGCAGCCTCACGTGGCCCGCCGGCCTCAACGGCTTCTGCGGCGACATGTATTACAAGGACGGAGCAGCACCCAACGTGGACACCAGCAGGGACCACGAGGCCGGCGGGCGCTTCGCCACGGGTGGGCGGGCCGCATCTGCTCCAGGCCGCGGCGGCTGCCTGGCTGCTGGGCGCGCTGCAAGGAAGCGTGCAGGTGACGGCGATTGCTGGTGCACGCACATCCGAACGTGTCGCCGCCGCCCCTGCGCAGGCGAGATTGGCGGTACGTACGAGGAGGGCGGGGTGATGAAGGTGCAAGTGGGCATCACCGCCCACCACAACGGCCGCTTTGGCTTCCGCATCTGCCGCGTCGCGGCGCCCGCCCAGGGCCAGACCTGGGTGGACGCCGAGAAGGCGCAGCTGACACCCGAGTGCTTCAACCAGGTGGGTGGGTGGCGGCGGCGGCGGCGGTCGCGGTGCGTGGCGGGGCGGTGGGCCGCAAGGCGTGGCCGCTGGGGCAGAGGGGCTGCTGCGTGTGTGTTGCGTGCAGTCTGCGCTGTGCCAGGCTTGCCCTACACACCTGCCCGGCTTGTCTGCGTGTGCTGTGTGCTGTGCAGTACATTCTAGTCCAGGCCAACGTGAATGGCTCCCAGGCCCCCTACCAGCAGTACTCATACCTGCCGTTCAAGCGCTGGGAGGCAAGCGCTGCCGCACACCTTGCGCTGCCCCTGCCTGCCCCCTGTTTGTTCTGCTCGAACGCTTGCCGGCAGAACGTGGGTGGGCTGGCTGGGGACCCCGGCTGGCCAGGCTGGCTGACAGGCTTGGCACGAGAGGCAGGCTGGACCCATGACCGGTGTGCGTGCGGCGCCCTGACCCGATGCGCCCCCTGCTATGCTGCCCGGCATCCCGGCCTGCCGCCTGCAGGGCTACTCCTTTGATGCCACCCCTCCCATGTACACCTACTACTACACTGTGCCGGATGGCCTGAACTGCGACGGCGTGAAGTTCCGCTGCGTGCTACAGTGGTGAGCGGTGTGGCAGCAGCAGCTGCTGTGGTGCTGCTTGGAGAGGTTCAGCCGCCTGCCGGCTGTCGCCGGCTGCTGCTGACCGGGGGCCCGCCAGCTGGGCCTGCGCAGCTGCCTGAGCCGCCCGCTGGGCTCCCCCGCCGGTTCCGCTGCGCCCGCTGGGCAGGCACTGGGCGACGGGCAACTCGTGCACGCCGCCCGGCACGCCAGACGCGTACCGCGAGAAATCGATCGAGTACTGCGGCCCCAACGCGCCCTTCCCCGAAGGTGCTCCCACCTCTGCATGCATGCCGCATGCCTGCCGCCACTGCGCTGGGGCCCTGCGTGCCTGCCTGGTGCCTGGCTGCCCTGGCTGCCCTGGCTGCTGCCAGCCTGCGAGGTGGCGGGAGCGGCCAGCTACCTGCTCACCGCCTGCGTTTTGTACACACAACGTGCGACGCTGCTGCATCTGTGCAGAGTTTTGGAACTGCGCAGACATCCGCACCACCCCTCGCTCCAAGTGAGCGGCGGCGCCTGCGCTGCGCTGCGCTTTCCCTTTGCTGCTGCGCCGCCCGTTTCAGCCTGTCCAGCGGCTCGCACCGATCGGCCACGGCAGGCCTGTTTTGTGGGGCCGGCATGTGTGCCACAGGTGCATGCGCCGCCGCATGACTGCCGCGCCCTGCCTCCTGCCCTGCAGCGTGCCTCCGTCCCCGCCAAGCCCTCCCTCGCCGCCACCCTCGCCGCCGTAAGCCTGGCTGCATGAGCTGCCTGGACCCGCAGCAGCTCGTGACAGTGACTGTGCAATGTGACAGTTTTGGGCTGGGCCCTGCATGTATATGGGCTATGCCAGCCTGACACCAAGAAGGCTGGCCTGCTGCCGGCCTGCAGGTTCCCTTCGCCGCCGCCTTCGCCCCGGCCCTCGCCGCCCTCTCCGCCGCTCCCCAGCAGGCAAGGCGCAGACTGGATGCGCGCGGCGTGGGCTGCTGGCGTGCAGGCCCAGCCCAGGCTGGACACCTTGCCCTGTGGCTGGTGCTTACTGCCAAATCCATGTGCCGATCCGCCGCCTCGTGCATCCGCCTGCTCCCTGCCCCTGCAGCCCGCCGCCAAGCCTGTCGGGCTACCCCTGCCAGTCTGGCAACGCCACCTGCTTCTGCTTGTGGAAGGGCGGCGCCGCCGGCACCTTTGCCGACGTCAAGACGGGGTGCAAGGTGGGCTGGCAGCGTGGTCGTCCGCACCAGGCTGGCTGGCTGGGCATGGCGGCTGCTGCTGTATGGTCCTGCCCTGCATCGTTGCGATTATGCACTCTGCTGCATGACCCGGCCGGCGCTGCCAGTGCACAAACCGCGCCAGCGCTCCGTGCGCGCTCCTGCTGCCGCTGCCCAAGCTGACATGTTGCCGCCGCCGCCGCCGCCCTGCCCCGCCACGCATGCAGTCTTACTACTCGTGTGTGCCGGGGGGCGTGCCCAGCTACTCTTCCTGCATCTCCGGCCTGTTGTTCAGCGACAGCATGGTCGCCTGCGACTATCCAGCCAGCGTCAGATGTGATGTCCCGCCCACGCCCGCGCCCAGCCCGCCGCCCTCGCCGGCGGCGGCGACGCGCCCGGCGCCGCCCTCGCCGCGCCCGCCCTCGCCAGCGCCGCCGGCGAGGAAAAGCAGCCCGCCGCCGCGGCCGCGCCCGCCGCAGCCGCCGCCACGCCCTCGCCCGCCCCGGCCGCCGCCGTCCCCTCGCCCGCCGCCACGCCCGCCCCGGCCGCCGCCGTCCCCACGCCCGCCGTCCCCACGTCCCAGCCCGCCTCCCCCGGCCGGGTGCGCTGCTTGCTGCATCTGATGGCAGCAGCGTGCTGGGAATGCAGCGCCCTCGCCTCGCCTCATCCTGCCGTGCTTCTCCTGAGCTGCCTGGCCCTCCAGCCACTCATTCTCATGGCTGTGTTGCTGGGGCTGATGGTGGATGTGCAGGGGCAGCGGGCTGCCGGGATCCCTGGCCAACCCCTTCAACATCACCTCCCTGCCCTACCTCAGCCCTAAGCTGTCGGTGGGTGTCGGCTGGGGCCAGGCTGGAGCGGCCTGGGAGGGAGGCAGGCCCCCCCCGGCGGCGCCTGCAGCAGCCGCAGCACCAGCAAACGCATGCGCCACATCGCACTGCCGTGCCGTGCGTGCCTGGCTGGCCTCCCTGCCCTTCCCCGCTGCAGCTAACTGGGGAGGTGGCCTGACCAGCCTGCATGGCCCGACCGGCCTGCACACCCTCCACCTGTCGCAGATGGCGGACAAGCACAGGGGGGTGCTGCCCAGTGAGGTGCCGCAGTGCGGCTCCATCTTCCCATCCACTCGCGGCTATGCATTCAGGTGTGGCTGGCTGGCTGGCATGGCCTGCTGGCACGGCCCCTGCGGCGAGGCGGCCTGGGATGAGAGAGCTTGCGTGATGAGCGGCCGGGCCTGCCCAGCCTGGCGCACAAGACCAGCATGGCACCGGCAGCAAGGAGGCCGCATGGCGGCGCGGAGGCCTCCCGCCGACGTGGCCATTGGGTGCCCCATGATGCAGGTGGCAGGCCCCCGCGGCCGGCACCCTGCGCGCCTCCACTTGCGGTTACACCGATGCCGACACGCTGCTGGCAGTGCTGGTGGGCAGCTCCAGGAGCGGGCCCTGGCGGTGCCTGCGGTGAGCAGCAAGCCGGGGGGCAGCCAGGGGCACAGGGCATCCTGCAAGGGGGGCGCCTGGCCTGGCCGCTGCCGCCGTGGGTGGTGCGCCAGCGACGGCCGGGCTGGGCTGCTCTCGGCGCCCCACATTCCCAGCGTCCTGTCCTCGCTGGGCATACCTGCCTGTGTAGTACCTTCCAACCTCCCCTCTGCATGCCCGCCCCCGCCACCCCTCCCACAGGAGCAACGACGATGACCTCGCCTGCGCCGCCGCCAACGAGTTTGCCAGTACGGCCTCCGCCTCCGCCGCCGCCGGCAGCTGGTATCTGGTCGTGGTGGCCGAGTACGAGAACAACATCCCCCCAGACTTCCAGCTGCGCGTCACGGGCCCAGCGTGAGTGGCAGGCCGCGGCAGCGGTACCAGCGGCAGCGCTGTGGGGTGGTGGGGGGCGTGGGGATGGTGGGGGTGGTCCCTTCCTCCCTCATCGGCCGCTTGGTTGGGTTGATCCTTCCTGCCAGCCCAGCAGGCCAAGGGCTGGTGCTTGCTGCTGCCGGCCAGCGTGCGCGACGGTCGGTGCCTGCACGCGTGCTCATGTCCGCCGCATTCCTCGCTGCGCCGCCGTGCGCAGCACGCGGCTGAGGCGGGCGATGCGGCTGCAAGGCGTGTGAGGGGAGCCGGGCAGGCACGCGATGAGTGCGGCCCCAATTCGTCCCCTCGATTTTGGAGGCTGGGAGTCCAATCAGTGGCTTAGCTGACAGCTGCACCGACGGCCATTCATACACACCCTTTCAGCAACAGGGGCCGCCAGCTCTCGGCAGCTGGATGGCTCGCTGTTTTCATGCGCAGCCGCCCATTTGCGCTGCTCCGGCCTGCAGCTGCTGTGCCTGCGCCTGCATGCCCGAGGCGCCGCAAGGCCCTCCATTTGTACCGCCATTACCTTTTTCCCACATGCCCAACCCAATGAACAGTTGCTGAGCTGCCCTTTTCATCTTTTCACTGCCATACACCCCCGTTTCCACCATTTTCAACTACTGTATCACACACGCACGCACTGCATGCCCCGATTCAAACGCACCTTAAGCATTCACTCCGCAGCCGGCAAGTACGCTGGCCAGGTAGCTCCCCTCACCCGGCACACCCCACCCACGCGCCTCTGGCACGGCCAACCTTACGCTTGCGCAGCTTACACTTGGGCAGACGGGAGCAGGCAGGCGGGCAGGCGGGCGGCGGCCTGCTTCATGCCGGTACTGCCTCCAGATACCCCTCTTGCAACCCCGCCAGCAGCTCCCGCAGATCAGCCGCTGCCGCTCCCGCCAGCAAAGGCAGGTCCCGCCCAAGCTGCCGCCCGGCCGCTCTGTAGTCGCCCCCCGCCGCTGCCGCCCGCCGCAGAGCCTCCAGAAAGCTGCCTCGCAGGGTGGCTGCCGCCACGCCGGCAGCTGCCCTGGTGGCGCCGGCGCCGCCAGCCGGCGCCTGCTGCTGCTCACGCAGCTCGGGTGGCTGCTGCCGCGAGTCCGCTGGCATTCCACCTCCCTGCTGCTGCTGCTGCTGGATGGAGCGCTGCTGCTGCACTCCAGCCGGCGGCGGTGCCTCCCGCCCGCCGCGTGCTCCTGCCGCTGGCGCAGGCGCTGCCGCCCCCGCGTGCCCCCGCCGGCGCTTGCGTGGAGGCTCGCCCGAAGGCCCGCCGTCCTCGCCTCTGCTGCCGCCGCCGCCCTGCTGCTCCTCCATGCCCCGGCCGGCGCAGCCGCCCCGAGCAGGCTCCTGTGCATCTTCCAGCAGTTCGACCCTCTCCTGCGCCAGGCTCGGCGGCAGGCGCATGGCCAGGACAACCAGGGAGGTTCGGACAAGGAGGCGCAGCTGCCTTCTTATCAAGGCAAAGAATGATGTGCTGCCTTGAGCTTGCGGCAGGGCCACGACTGGCAGCGGGAGGGCAGGACCGCGAGCGAAGTCGACAGGTGGAGGGGCCTGCCCACCTGCCCCGCCTGCCTCCCAACACACACCACCACCGCTGCCGCCACACACCTGGTGCAGCAGCAGCAGCTCCTCGTCGCCGTCGCCATACAGCACAAAGTGGCGCCTGCAGGGGGTGCGGCCAGCATGGAAAAAGGAAAAAACAACAACGGTCAGCCAAGACCCATGCCCGATCAAGCTGGGGCCACGGCACGGCACAGCACAGCACAGCACAGCGCAGCACAGCGCAGCACAGCGCAGCACCGCACAGCGCCGGTCTGGACGCTGGCCGGCCGCGGGGCTCACTTGGAAGCTGAGGAGAAGTCGGCCACGAAGCCGCTGTACCACTGGCCGTCCTCAGGCCAGTACACAGCCACCCGCCTGCCCACCAGCTCCCCGCCCCACTGCCGAGCGGCCAGGCGGCTGGGCTGCTGCGCGCCGCAATCCCGCACCCCACGCTGAGCCTGCTGCCGGCCACCCAGCACCGCCTTCTGCCACCACGTGGCCGCCGGCACCTCCGCCGCCGCCCCTGCAGCGCCACCCGCGGCGGGCGGCGCGGGCGCCTGCTGCTGGGCCGGCCCGCCCTGGCCGTCGCCTGGAGCCTCCTCCTCCTCCCCGCTGCTGTCGCTGCTGAGCAGCAGCCGGTGGCGGAACTTGCGCATGTCTGCCCGCATGCGATGGCCGTCCTCCGCAAACACCAGCCAGTGCAGGCTGCAGGGGCGTGGGTGGGGGGCAGGGGGTGGGCTGCGGTTGATGCCCAACCGAGGGCAGCCAGGGCCGCAAGGCCAGGCGGAAGGCAGGCAGAGCGCGGCGAGCGTGTCCCAGGCATGTCACAGGCGTGTAGGGTCTGGGCATCAACACACCCGCTGTCCAGCTCATCATCCACTGTGGCCTCGTACCACCGCCCATCCATCCACAGCACCTCGATGCGCCGCCCCAGCAGTGGCGCCTCGCTGAGCCGGGACCGGCGCGGGGCGGGCGCCTCGCGCAGCTGTGCCAGGCGGCTGCTGGCCCGCCGCGGCTGCTGCTGGGCAGGCACAGCGGTGGGCTGTCTCTGCTGCTTCTCCAGTGCTTGCTCCGGCTCTGCCGGCAGTGGCACCGGCACTGGCACAGCTGCGCCGGCCGCCTGCTGGCATTGCCGGCGGCGGGGGTCGCGGGGGGCAGGCCCCTGGGCTGGCGCCGTTCTTCCATGCAATCCCTCAGCCTCTACAGGGCAGGAAGAGCGCGCTGTGAACCACGAGCGCCCGCTCAACGTGGTGTCGGCCCGCTGCTCCCCTGCGGGCGGAGCTGGGGCAGCGCCCTGCATTTCCAGACGATGGTATTTGAATTGAATCCAGATGAGACTGGCAAGCACGGATCCGTGCTTGCCAGTCGATCGATGTGGGGTGGCGTGCTGGGAGCGCTGCTGCCGCCGGGCGCTGGGCCCTCTCTCCCTGCTTGTGCAGGCACGGTCGTGTCGTGAATGATTACATTCACACAGCATGCATGCATGGTCACCATCAGGGAGTGACCTGTGGCTGCTGGCTGCGCGGCTGCAGCCCCAGCACAAAGATGCGGGCATCGGCGTCGGCGCACGGCGGCGCCGCCCCTGCCCCGCACGTGTCGCCCCACCTCGCCTGCTGCCGCACCACCGCCAGCCCCGCCTGCGCCGCCAGCTGGCGCAGCTGGTGGGGGGCCACCTCCCGCAGGGCCCACTCCTCCTGCCGCCGCCAGCTCAGCTGCTGCGCGTCGCCAGCCGCCGCCGCCGCCGGCGAGGCGTATCGCTCGAGCTGGAACCGCTGCCGCCAGACGCGGCCGCCGTCGGGCTGCGCCTCCGCCTCCTGCCGCACGCAGGTGCGGCGGAAGGGCCCCAGCACCGCGGCCTCTCCCGGAGAGGCCTGGAGGTGGCCGGGATCAAAGATGTTGAGCACAGCCCAGGAGGGGCCGGCCGGGGACAGCGCCGCCGCCACGCCCCGCAGGCACGCCAGCTGGTCGGCTGCCGACAGCAGGTGGTGGAAGCTGCCCGCCGAGATGAGCACCAGGCGGCAGGCGCCCGCCAGCTGCAGGGCCGCCAGCTGCGGCGCGCCCAGCGCCGCCACATCGGCGCGGTGCCACTCCACGCGGCACCAGGGCGGTGGCGGGGCGCGGGCGGCCGCCAGCTGGCCGCGAGCGGCCGCCAGCATCTCCTCGCTGCTGTCCACCCCGGCCAGGCGCAGCTGCAGGCCCCCAGCGCTCGCTGCCTGCGCCGCCGCGCTGCTGGCCAGCCGCTGAAGCAGGCCCAGCAGCACACGGCCGCTGCCGGTGCACAAGTCGAGCACCGCCACGCCTGCCGCCACGCCAGTGCACACGTCCGCCACGCCTGCCGCCCCCTGCAGCGTCTGCTCCAGCAGCGGCCAGTAGACGTCCAGGTCCCTCCCGGGCTCGTATTCCGGTGGCAGGCTGTGGAGCAAGTGCTCATAGAATTCGGCAAAGCCCGGGGTGTCGTAGCTGCGCTGGACTTGCTTCATGGCGGCAAGCCTCCGACCCTGTGTGGGCACGAGGAGCCGACGAACTAACACAAAGAGTTTGATGCGTTGATCGGTTCGCTCGATGGCGGTGCCGCCCGCCTGGCCCAGCCGCCACTGCACATCACCCGCCGGGCAAAGCGCTCCTGCTGCACATCACGATCCAGTCAAGCCTGCATGCATGGCTCCCAACACCGCCTGCGCCTGCCTGGCACATGACGCTCCCAATGTGCTGCGAATGGTTTCACAAGGGCAGGGCGCTGTCCAGGGGCCGAGCGAGGAGCGGTCCAGCATTGTGCTGCCCGCATGCGACTGCGAAAATGGTGGACATGAGTGGGTGTCACGAGGGATGGCATGCATCAGTAGGAATCAGAAAAAGAAGTTCAGGTCAAGTCTGGTCAAGTATCGCGAAGCGTAGGTATGCGCACACAAGGAAAGGGAAAAGGAGCAGGCAGGTGGTGGGTGGAGGTGGGGCTGGGCAGGGTGAGGCGGGAGTAACAGAGGCCTCATGATGGGTGGGAATGCTGTGCACCTGAAAGAAAGAAGGGCAGAGAGTGGTGCAGACAGAGGCACCTGGTGGGCAGCTGGGGAGCGCGTTTTGCTAGGTGCAAGGTGCGAAAGGGCAGCGTGGTCAAAAGGGGATGGCTATGGTGCCGGGAGTCGGGTGGGTGCGGGCCAGCAGCGGCACCCGCGCACAAAGCGCGCACGGGTCGCAGCTGGCAGCGCCGATGTGGGATGCCGTAGACCCCGAGAGGTGGGCGCATGAATGGAAGCGAAGTGGGATGTAGGGTAAGGGAGAGGGCGGTAAAACTCAATTGCATAAGGGGGACAGAGAGCTACTGGAAGCAGGGGGTCTAGCGGAGAGGAGGAAGAGGAACACTCGGCAGATGACGTCAGGACAAAATGGGCACAGGGCAGGCTGGCTAGCCAGCCAGGCGCAGCTCTCTCCGGCTGAAGCTGGCCAGACGGCGGCGCCCTGCGGCTTGCGCATGCGCTGCAGCTGCGGCTGCCACTCTACTGCTGCGCCGTACACCAGGCAGCCGCGTGCACTGCCAGCTTCCAGACGCCTTCTTCTGGCATCTGAACCCGACGCCGCAGGGGCGCGCGCATTTGCGGGGGGAGGGCGACGGCGGCGGCCTGGGGCGCGGCGACGGCGGGCGTGGCACTGCAGCGGAGGGGGTGTGGGGTAGCCAGCAGGTCAGCCCTCCGGCCTCCCGGCGGTTGCAGGGCAGCGCAGCGCAGTGCAGCAGCTGACGGCTGGCATGGCGGGCTCGGGTGGCAGGCTCAAGCCTGAGGAGCATGCAGGCGGGCCGGGCAGCAGCAGAGAGGGGCAATCACCTGCCACGCATTGCGCCCGGAAGCTGACCCTGTCTACCGTGCATCTGGGTTTGTCTGCTGTGCAGGTAAAGCGGATGCAGGGGTTGGCACGGCAGTAGCCGGCCGCGCAGATCTGCCTGGCGGGGCAGGGCTGTGCCGCGCTGCACGTGTCCCCCAGGCGGTTCTCTGCCGGCGGCGGCGGGCGCGGCGAGGGCGGCGGTGGCGAGGGCGGCGGGGGGCCGCGTATGAAGCCGCCGCCGCCGCCGCTGGGGTCGGGCAGGCAGTTGAAGCAGCCGTTGGCGTCCCTGCCGCACTTGTAGCCTGGCATGCAGTCCATGATGCAGACTTGGGGGCACATGGCGCAGCGGGGCCCGCCCGTGTCCAGCCGCACGCCGCACGCAAAGTTCATTTTGTTGCAGCATATCGCTGCGCTGCCGCTGCCGTCCGTGCCGCTGCAGGTGTGCTCGGTGGCATCGTTGCACGGCGCGTACTTGACGGTTGGGTACGTCAGCTGCAGCGGCGGCGGAGGGGGCGGGAGGAGCGAGGCAAAGGCGCGGATGGTCGGGCGTGGCTCAGCGGGGTGCACACAGAAGCCTTGCCGCGGCGGCTGCTGCTGCACAGCCCGGCGCGGCCTGAAACTACAGTGGCGGGTGCGCCACAGCGCGTGAGGCCGGAGCTGGGGGGGTGCAGGGGCAGCGGTCATATGTGGCGGCACCGCGGGCGGTTCCAATTGGGCGGTTGCCGGAGCTGGGGCGGCAGCTGGCGGCGCTGCCCTGCTTGCGGCACGGCTCTGCGGGCCCCACACACCTGCGCCACAGCTCCAGGGGCTGCGAGGAGGAGTTGCAAGGCCAGCAGCGCGGCCAACCAGGTGGCTAGCATCGAGCGCTGCATTCCATCCCTTCAGCGCCGGCCGCGAGGGCTCGAATGACCTGCAGCGTTACCAACCAGAGCCAAGAGCTGTTGGCTGGTGCCGGCGCCAAGAGATTATCATTGGCCACAAGAGAGGGGTTGGAGGCCCGCCCAGCAAGGGTTGTACCCGGCAGACGCAGCGCAAAGCTCCGCTGAAGCCATCACCGAGCCAAACCGAGCCTGCAAGCACACCTGTGGGTTTGCGGGCTGCCTGGGGAGGCGCAGGGGCTGCGCAAGGGCCGGGCTGTTGCAAATGAAGCCTGTGGAGGCACTGGGGTGACCGGGTGAAGCAAAGTAGCCTCTCGAAGGTCTGTTTACAGACCTTCGAGAGTACATCCTGAACGTGGTGGTGGACGGCGGCCGCCAGCTCAGCAGGCCTCCTGGAGCTGAGATGTCTTAGGTTTCCCTGCGATGTGGGCTCATCAGGGTGTCCATCTACATTGTGTAGCGGCCGATCTACGTTTCACACGGCTGTTGTGGTCATTCGGTCAGACCCGGGGCCCGCCCCCCACCACCTCCCGCCACCACCTCCCGCCACCTCCTACCGCCACCACCCAGGAAATGTCCCCTTCCTTGAGCAAGCTCTTAAGCTTGCCTGCCTCACTCCAAGCATGGAACCTTCGAGCAATCAGCAGGCACCCTGCTGCGGCCAAGAGCTGCCCGCAAGTTGGTGCACACGCCCGTCTCGCTTGCATCCCCCCGCCGCCTCTGCTGCGCCCCCTGCCTCCCCCAGCAGCGCCAAGGGCCCTCCACAGCATGCCCTGCTCGACTCATTGAATAGCGTGATGAGTGGGGTGCCTTGTGTGATGGTGGGCCAAAAAGTGGTGGTTATCATGAGCTCACATCAGGGCGAACGCATTATGCGGTGGTGGGGCAGAGCACTCATGCAGAGCTCTCTGGGCAGGGCATTGGGTGCTGACAGAGGAGAAAGCACAAAAAATGTTAAGTTGTGGGTTCGGCTATGAAGAACAGATTACCGTACCAGCGAGGGGCACCTCGCTGCCTAGCAGCATGCGCCTGCCTCCTCCAGAGGTCGAGGCTGCTACCCCTGTTGCTGCGGCGGCAGCCCGTGGCCTTGCCGCCCGGCGCATCGGCTGTGGCAGCGTGCCACCGGTCCCGGCAGTGGAGGCGGCTTTGGCCATGGAGGACGCAGCCACGGCGCTGGCTGTCTTGCGCTGCGGGCGCTTGACGCTGCCCCTGCGCCTCACGCACTGCCAGGTGGCAGGCGTGGTGGCGGTGGAGGGGCGCTGCTGGCACGCAAAGCCGTTGCCGCAGGCGGGTTTGCATTTGGTGGAGGCAGGTTGGTCTGAAGCTGCACATCAGGGAAGGCCAGAGGATGCTGCGTCAGCAAGGAATGCCATGGGGAGAGGAAAGGCGCTGGCCCGGGCCGGCACGCTTCAGGGCGCAGCAAGCAGTGGGAGGTGCCCAGCACGGCAGCAGCACCGCCTCGAAGCAGGAGGCAGCAGCGGCTGCAGCTGTATGGCTGCAGCACCACCTGGCGCAGCAGCAGGCACACCAGCCAGGCAGGCAGGCCGCCAGGCAGCTGACCTGCTTCCACACAGGATGCCGACAGCGCCGCTGTGACGACACACTTGGGTGTGGCGCCGCCGCACCGCGTGGTGCTGCAGGGGTCGGTCCTACACGTGTTGTTCTGGCAGACCTTGCCGGTGGCGCAGGGCTTGCTGTCGTCGCACTCCCGCACAAAGCCGCCGCCGCCGCCGCTGGAGTCGGGCAGGCAGTTGAAGCAGCCGTTGGCGTCCCTGCCGCACTTGTAGCCGGGCATGCAGTCCATGATGCAGACTTGGGGGCACATTGCGCAGCGGGGCCCGCCGGTGTCCAGCCGCGTGCCGCACCGAAACAGCCCTTTGTTGCAGCACAAGTCGGTGCCGGCGCCGCGGCAGGTGTGCTCGGTTGCGTCGACGCACGGCCTGTTGCTGCCGCCAGGCGGGAGCAGCTGGTGCAGCCTGCGTGCCTGGCGCATCCAGGCCACCCCTTGTGGACGCCATCTTAGTGCGCCGTGAGGGAGAGGGGGCAGGCCGCCGGCATGACGGTGTTGCCGCGCGGTGGCGCCTCGTACTGCAGGTGCCGCCGCACAGTCCCCGGGCCCAGCAGACGCCAGGGTTAGGGCAAGTAGAACCCCAAAGGGCTTCATGTGCTTCCTTCGTGCGCTCGAAACCAGCAGCAGGCTGCAGAGAGCAGAGAGGGGATGGGCAGCCGGGTGATGGTCAGCCCGACCCCCGCGCAGAAGGGAAACCGGTTCCGCTTCAGCACCCAAGCAAGGGGTTTGAGCTCCTAACCGCGTGGTGCATGCCGCAGACGCCTCGGCAGCGCGCACCTGCCCTCAGCACGTCCTTGAAGTTGTTGCCGCCGTGAATGGGGCGCCAGTCCGCTCCTGTGGGCATGTGGTGCTTCGATGTAGCGAGGAGAGTTGTTGCAGGGGAGCAAAGCTTGGTGAAGCGAGCAAACAGTGAACCGGTCCTTGAGGCTGCAGCTGCGTGTCCACAATACTGTGCCAGCTGGACCTGAGGCCCCACAGGTGCGTAAACTAGCACTCAGGCCTCCGTCAAGTGAAGCAAGCCGCAGGGGAGGGGCTGTACGATACACGGTTGGATGCGGCGTGGGCAGTCGAGCTCGGCGTTCTCGGGTTTCCATCCTCTGGGCTGAAAATCCACATGTCGAGCACCACAGGGCTCAGTCCACTGAAGGTAAAGGTAAAGGTGGGGAAGAGCCTCCACAAGCTTAACTTCCCGGTTTTAACGTCTAGCTTTAGACCATTATGTGGTGCCTGCTTGCCACCTGGCACTGCCTCGGTGCCGCTGCCTTCTGACTAGTCACAGTGATTGCCAATCATGCCATGAATACCAGTGGTAAGGCGTCCCTTTGCTCGACTGGCTGGCATGTAAGCCCTCTCTGCTGCGTGGCGGCATTTGCCATGTTTAACAGAACAGGTGGCAATGCTGCATGGCACGCGCTGTGGTGTGGCACGCGCAAACCGCGGAGGAGCGGGAGGACAGCATGAGCTCAGGTTGGAGGGCAAGCGCTTGCGACTTGTGAATGGGCAGGGCATGGAGGAATGGAAGCAGTGAAAAAGCAATGCAAGTACTGTGCCGGCACATAGGCGGGCATGGTGGCACAGGCGCGGCAAAAGAAGGTCGCAACTGGCGGGCACCCCGCAGCATGCGAGGCGCGTCTCAATGGAGGAGGTCATGGCCCAGGGCAGTGGATAAATCAGTGTGTGGATGAACACGCCCCTGGGATGAAGGGTGGTGATGGGTGGCAGTGATGCGTGGGCATGAGAAGGGGCTGCTGGACAGAATTGAGGGCGGCCAATGATGAGGGGGGTGAAAATGAGGGGTGATGGTGAAGGTGGTGTGGGAGGTGGCAGTGATAGAAAGGTCAAGTGAAACGAGAAGTGATTAGAAAAGGGGAAATGGTTGAAAACGGAGAAATGAAAAAGGAAAAGTAGGGCAGAGGCTGGCGGTAACCAGAGTGCAGCATGAGGTTAACATTATCAATGTAGCCGCCATGCAGCGCTGGGGCGTGGCTTGTGAGGCGGGGCCGGGTGCGCTGCGTCCGTCAGGGAATCAGGCCACCCAGCTGGCGTAGCTGGGTGGCCACCCCATGGGGCCGTTGATGCTTTTGAGGCTACAGGCGCAGCTCGCGCCGGCTGGGGGCCGCCAGCAGCCGGCGCCCTCGCTTCTTCACCTGCAGCTTGACGCACTGCAGCTTGCTGCCGACCTTGCTGCACTGGTACCCCTTGCCGCAGGCAGGCTTGCAGTTGCTGGACATGGATCCGGTGGCAACAGCTGTTGCGGGATCTGCACAGCAAAATGGGGGCAGGGAGCTGGAGTGGGAGGGGTGGGCACCGGGGGCAGCTCTGCGGCACGCACCCGACAACGCAGGTCGGATGGGCTGGCTCCCCAACAGCGCGCACAGAGACGAGGCAGTCAGCACGTGGCGCCGCCACGGCCAGGCCAGGCGCGCACCTGCAATGCACTCTGCCGTGAAGGAGGGGGTGACGCTGCACTTTGGGGTGGCCCCGCTGCACCCCTTGAAGCCGGGGTCTGTGCAGGGGTCCTGCCGGCAGAAGCCGGTGCTGCACAGCTGGCCGGTGGGGCAGGGCTTGGAGGCGCTGCACGTCGTGCGCACGTAGCCGGGGGTGGCGCTGCCGCCGGGGTCGGGCAGGCACTTCCAGCAGCGGTTGGGGTCTGCTGGGTCGGCGCCGCACTTGTAGCCAGGCATGCAGTCCACGGGGCAGTACTGCGGGCAGGTGACGCAGCGCGGGGCGCCGTCCAGCCGCGTGCCGCACACCGCCTTGTGCCTCTCGCAGCAGATGGGCTTGCCAGCGGCGGCGCCCGTGCTGGCGCACGTCGCCTCCTTGCCGCCGTCGCAGGGCGCGTACTTGGTGGGGCTAGGAGCTAGGAGCTGTGCGTGGGCTGCAGCAGGGGTGCGGGAAGAAGGGGGCCAGGTTGAGCAAGCTATTGGGCGGGCCTGGCCAGCAGGGGTCTCGTGTGGCGGGGCGGGACGGGCCCAGGGGGAGCCGGCAGCTGGGGGGCAGGTGGCTCCCCAAGCAGCGCTCGGGTGCCCAGGCACGGCGCGCCGCTTACAAACACCCATCAGAGATCCTGGGAGCTGGATTCACGCACCTGTGGGCGCAACAATGGCCGCGACTAGCAAGGCCACTATGGCTTGGAGGACGTTAGAGAGGGCCGCCATGTGGCTGGCGCTGCGCAATTGGAGACCTGAAGATGACATGGGAAGAGGCTTTCGGTGAATCAGTGCAAGCAGGGAGGGTCACCAACGCCAGCTTCCGCTTGGCTCTCCGTGCATGGAGCCGAGAACAGCTGTGCAGGCCTCCCCCGACCCCCATTGCCGGGGGTCGCGCCTCCTGTGCACATTCATGCGTGCTCTGGCCTCGTGGGAGGGGCCGCGCACCCACACACCTTGTGGACTGTCAGAATGGGCGTCTCGTCGCTCAGAGGAGGAGCAAAAACAGAGACGGGGTGTGCGTAATAGGTTCTTGGAAGCCTGTGGAGTAGGTCTGGGTGGGTGGCTGTGATGATTGGAGCATGAGCAGTCAGAGAGGGCCGGAGCACGACTGGTACTTGGGGCGGTGGAAAGGCAGCTTTGGTTACGTTCACAATTTGGTGGTTCCTCTCTTCTCGGCGCCCTGAGGGTCGGGGATGTCGGTGTAAGCCCACAGGAGGCTGGGTGGGGCGTTGCCCCTCTTTGGGTATCGCCACATCTGCCGGAAGGGCACTTGGATGTGCCCACCCCACGTGATCACCCCACCAGTAGCGACTGGGTTTCCGTTGACCCAGGGTTCCAGTACAGCCCCGATGGTTGCGTGTTGCCCATGACGCTGGATGTCCACGCTGCCGCGCAGCTGTGGCAGCCGGGGATGCTCGCCGCCCCCCGCCGCATACACACGCCGCCCCGCCGCCGAAGCACCGTTGCAGCTTCACAGCGGGAATCCGTGCAAGAGAGGAGGCGGGCCACCAAGAAGCCAGGCAGGCCGCTGAGACAGGCCGCTGAGGCAAACATGAAGGAAGAGTGGCAGGACTCTCGCCGGGTGCCCACACCGTTCCAACTGTTCTGGCATGTTCCACGTCGCTGATTACAAGCGGAAGTGGCACAATGGGACGCGGTTCAATATGCAGGGCAGAGGACGGCGGCGAGGTGAGCAATGAAATCTGGACGGAAGGGCTTGACGCAGGAAGGTGGGAATGGAGAGCAGAGGGCGCCTGTGCGCTGGCCAGCTTTTCGGCCCGCCGCGCCGCTGGCTTGCCCAACGCCGCCGGCCCGCGTAGCCGCCGCCTGCCCTCACCGCTGCAGCATGCCGGCCGCCACCTGCGAGTACACGCGCTGCGCCTCGGCCTGCAGCTCCTTGAGCGCCTCCGCCGGCAGCGCGGCCGCCCTGTCCATCGCCACCGCCGCCACCTTCTTGGCGTGTATGTCGGCGGCCAGCTCGCGGCGGGCCTCCGCGGGCAGGCCCAGGAAGGCCATCAGGCCGTCTGCCACCCCCGCCAGGTCCGCCAGCTGCTCGTAGGCGACAAAGTAGGTGGGGTAGGTGCGGGCCGCCAGCTGGCACACCCGCATCAGCTCTCGGTCCGCCGCCAACGCCTCGCGCAGCTCCCGCGCAAAGGCGGTGGGCTGCGGCACGCCCCCCGGCCCAGCCCCCGGCTCCGCCCCAGCCACCTTGGCCGCCGCCAGGGCCAGGTTGCGGCGGTGGGAGCAGATGAGTCTGGGCGGCGGCTGCAGCCGCTCCAGCGCCTGCCAGCGCTCGGCCCCGGGCGCCCAGGCGGCCGCCGCCTCCCGCGTCACGCGCGCCCGGAACCCGGCCACCCGCACCCTGTCTGCGGCCTTGGGCGGCAGCGCCGCGCGTCGCGCCGCCTGGGCCTCCGCCCCGCGCCACGCCTCGTACTCGGCGCTGAGGTTGCCACGGAAGAAGCGCTCCACGCGGGAGGGAGGGTGCGCCGGCGGCGGCCGCAGCCAGTCCCCCGCCTCGTTAAAGTGGTCGTCCAGGAACAGGGTGGAGGGGTGGTGGTTGAGCACTGCAGGGGGTGGCGGGGGGGGGGGTCCGCGTCAGCCCAGAAGGGGCATGGTGCTGCATCAGAAGGGGGTGCCGTGTCACTGCAGGGGGCGCCGCCGCCTCCGACAGCCCACCCTCCACAGCACAGCCCCCGCTGCTCTTCCTCCCCCGCTGCTCCCCCGCAGCTCACCCGCGGTGAGGATCATGCCGCCCGTCTGCCTGGCGCTCAGCAGCAGCACAGGCTGCACGCCCCCGGCCGCCGCCTCCGCCACGCTGCCGCCGCCCTGGGCCGCGGCTGCGGCGCCGGGGTCCGGGCACTCGCAGTCGCACCGCCTCTGCTTCCACATGTGCTGTGAGGCGGCGGCCAGCGCCGCCAAGGCAGCCAGGCCCAGCACCGCCACGACGCGCAGCGCGCCGCCGCCGCGAGCCGCGCCCCCTCCTCTGCTCCGGTGCTGTCGCATGAGGACCGCCATGGCCTAGCCTGCTGCTGCGCCGCGGATGCGGGCCGGCCTGGCTGCCTGCGGCGTGGACGGGGCAGGGCGCCAGCAATTGGGGGGGCCGCGCCGGTGCTGTCGCCGCCGGTCTCCGGGAAGCTTCTAAGCCAGGCACAAGGCTGCAGCTGCTTGGCCGCCTTGCCTGCCCTCACCTCCCAGCAACTCCTCACTGTGCTGCACGGGAGGCCAACAAGCCTTGCGGCGGACGGGGAGCTGGGCGCCAGCAGGCGGGACGGGCGACGATAGCCGCCGGCAGGAGCGGCAGACGGTGGGGCGCCTGCCCTCGACCCAGCCGCCAGTGGATCTCTCCGATTGCTCGTTGCAGGGCGCAGGGACCGCGGAAAGCTTGGGTCTACGAGTTGGGCAAGCCTGGTGCCTCCCTGGTAGTGGTTTGCGGCGCTCTCTCACTGAAATTGCCACCTCGAGGCGAGTGTGAGACGGCAATAGGCAGGGCGACTGGTTCGGGCGCGATCTCCCTGGCCCCTCCCCACCAAGATGCAGCGGCGGCAGCAGCAGCAGCGCGGCGAAAGCATCATGTACATTCGGGCTGGAGCCACGGCCAATGGGGCACCGGACATGCTGCTCCAGTGCGCATCCAATGGATGCCTTTGCAGCGGTAAGTTGCCCGCCACACGCTGCCACCAAGCAAGACGGCAGGGCGGTGTGATGCGGCAGGTGGCGTGGACCAGAAGAGGCAACCCGGCGCGTTTACTGGTTGGGCATCCATCAGCTGAGATCCATCCATCAGCTGAGATGTCCCAGCACCCATCAGGCTATGCAGATTTGGTTAGCCCGATGTATCCTGAGCGTGGCCGCCATCGGCGGCACGCTGAGCGGCGTGCTGCGCTGACAAGACTCCCGAGGCAGCTAGCCGCGCCGAGCTTTCTCACACGATCCTGCACCAATGCGGAGCACCCTCCTGAGGTGGTCTTGACAGCGATCGACTGATCGTCGCAATGCTCTTCTTCACCGTGGTGGCGCTGCCGTCCGTGATTTGCGGCGTGGCAGCGGCGCTGGTGTGGCTGCCCAGTCGCACCACGGGTGCGCGCCGCGTGCCGGCCTCGCCCGCCGCCCACCGCCCGCCGCCGGCCACGCGTCGTCCGGACAGCGTGCCGACGCCCTGGTCCACTCCTCATGCAGGCTGGCTGGTGAGGCTGGATGTGGGCCTGGCTTGGTTTGCGGCCCTGGCAACCCTCATCCTGGTGCCCACCGATGTTGCGGCGGCGCTGTCCCAGCAAGACCCAGGCCCGCTGGCCGTGTGGTGGCGCGCGGCCTACTGGTGCGGCTGCTGCAGTGAGCTCTGTGGGCCCCTGGGGTGCGGGTGCATGTTGTTTGCAGCCATTGGTGCACTAGATACGAAACAGCCGTCAGCAGCTATCGGCGGTGTCACCTGCAGCATAGCTCTCCTTCCCGGGCCGTCACCAACCTTGCACACCCCTACACGCTCCTGCCACTGCCACCGCCACCTCCTGCCGCTGCAGGTATGGCTTCTCGGTGCAGGTGTTGGTGCTGCCGCTCCACATGGAGTTTGCTCGGTCGGGAGAGTTCAGCATCAAGGACCGACTGCTGGCGGCGGCCAGGTGGGTGCCGCACCACACCGCACCATGCCACGCCTCCACACACCACGACGCTCCTGCCGGCTCTGAGCTGCCCATGCGGCATGCAGTAAACACCTGCCTGCAGCCTGGAAACTAAACTGCTTGTGGGCATTGAGTTGGCCGCAGGCAGGCGCACAGCGGCTTGCATTGCTTCAGCGGCAGTGTAGTGCTGACCCTGCACCTTAACCCTGCTGTGTTGTTCCGCTCCCTCCCAGCAGGTACAATCTGCTGTACTATGCCGTACTGCTGGCCGTGGCCCTGGCCGGCCTGCTCCTGCTCCTCTTCTCCGGCCGCCTGCAGCCCGCCAACGTGATCGGCTTCTGCATCGCATCCAGCAATGCATACGGGCTGGTGGCGGGTGCGCTGTGTTCTTCACCGGGCATGCTGCGGTGTGCTGCTGCGTGCTGCGCGGGCTGCGCCGCAGCATGTGGGGAGGTGCTCTGCCGCTAGCATCACATTCATCCCTCACCTCGCACACTCTGATGCACCTCGCTCGCGTCCCCGACTTCCCCCCTCCTGCAGCCATCTTCTTGCTCGGCTTTGGGCTGTGGGCCGTGCCGCGCGCCCTGTGGAACTCAGCCGATCGCCGCGGCGAGCAGCGGCGCGTGTACCACAAGGCCGGCCTGCAGGTGCGCCCCGCCTCCCCGCTGAGCTGTCTGGAGGGCGAGCAGGCTGGACGGGTGGCTGGGTTGCGGGCTGGAGAGGCGGCTGGCGGGCCGGACGGTCGGCTCACCAGCTTCAACGCGTTCGCTGGATGGCATTCACCGACCGACCGGACGCCTCCTCCCCTGGGCTGCCGCAGGCCGAGCGCGCGCAGGCGGCGCACCGCCGGCTGTCGGCGGCGGTGCTGACGGTGCGCCGCGCGTCTGTGCTGTTTGCGGCGCACGACCCGCTGCGCCCGCTGATGGATGTGGTGCTGGGCCTGGCTGCCAGCGTGGGTGAGTGTGCGCCTCGGTGTTGTGTTTTGGGCAGGGAAAGGGAGGCGCGTGTGGGGCGCCGCTTCCACGCAGGAAGGGAGCGGAGCCGACTGGTGCCTGCTGGTTCATGAATGGATTGAATGGAATTGAATGGAAGAGAAAACACAGGATGATTGGCCCGTGCAGCAGACGGCACTGGCTGGCGCTGCCGCGTCACGGCCGTGCATGCTGCGCTGCATGGCCGCCCCTGCCTGCAGGCCCCAGCTTCAAGCTGGATGCCGGGGTGCAGGTGCCAGACGAGGCTGAGCTGGACGTGTTTGACAGGTCAGCGCCGGCGCCACGTGCAGCAGGAGGCAGCAGCTTCCGGTACCGCCGCTGCTGTGCCGCCACCGCTCCCCCTGCAGCCTTGTCCTGCTGCGGGGCCGGGTTGCCCGCCTGCCTGCCCTGCCCGCCTGCCTCAACGTTGGGCTGGCTGATGGTGCGGCTGGGCTGGGGTGGGGCGCAGGGCGGACCTGGCGAGGCTGCGGCGGGAGCTGAAGGCCGCCATGAAGGACTGGGAGCGGGAGCATGCGCTGTATCTGGAGGTGAGAGAGGTGGCAGTCGCCCGCCTGCCTGCCTCGCCTGCCGGCCTGCCGGCCTGCCGGCCTCGCCCGCCTGCCTCGCCTGCCCGCCCGCCTGCTTGCCTGCCTGCCTGCCTGCCTGGCTCGCTTCCTCGGCTCCCGCCTGCCACCCTTTCAGCTGCCTTGCCTACTGCCTTGCCTGCTGCCTGTGTGCCTCCACCTCTGCCACCCTGTTTTGCCCACCTGTATCCGCGTCCTGCCCGACTGGGGCATGTGCCCTCCGTCCATGTGTCGACCTTCCCCCTACCCTGCTCCCCCTCCCCCGCCTCCTGCCTGCCTCCTCTCCCCTGCAGGCGGTGCAGGAGCACCTGAACCTGGAGGAGGTGGTGGGCAGGCTGGAGGCCGGCGTGCCGCAGGGCGCGCCCGCCCTGGACCGCATGCGCTGGCTGTGGGACAGGCACCTTCACTTCTGGGCCTTCAGGCGAGGAGGCCGGGCCTGCTGCCCTGCTGCTGCTGCTGCTGCTGCTGTTCCTCTTGCTCGCCTTCTCCCCGCGCCCATGCCTTGCACGCCGCCGCCGACCGGGCCGCTCCGCTCCCCCTGCCTCCCCGCCGCAGGCTGCTGGCCGCGCTGGCCGCCCTCTGCTCCCTGGCCATCGTCGTGGCGGAGGCCACCATCGCATGGACGCTGCCAAATCTGTCTGTGGTGTCGGCGGTGCTGCGCTCCGCCGCAGGTGACGCGCATGGAGGCGGTGTGGTGTCCTATGGGAGCGGGATCGCGGCGGCTGCCGCCGGGGAGAGGCGCGTTGCTGGGCAGAGGCGCGCGCACACGTTGCCCCGTGCCGCAGCGCGCGACGCTGAACGCCGCGCGGCCGCCCCCCGCAGGCTCCCGCTTTGCCACCGAGCTCCTGTGCTTCCTGTTTCTGGCCTACCCCTGCGCCTGCGCCTACTACAGCCTGTACAGGTGGGCTCCTGGAGCGCCGGCCTGGCTAGCCGTGTGGTGTGTGGGGCAGATGGATCTGTTTTGGGGGCTACAAATGCGGGCAGGTGGATCCACACAGCCCTGGCAGGGTGCCGCACGGTATAGGAGAGCACCTCGGATGCAGCACATGCATCACAGCACCAGGTGCAGCTCACGCCTCCCGCCGCGACATGCCACCGGCCGCAGGCTGGGCCGCTTTGCCTTCTACCGCATGGTGCCGCGCCACACAGACGCCTACTCGCTGTGCTTCTCGGGTGAGGGGCCGGGCAACAGGGGGCAACGGGGGGCAGCCAGGTTTAGCTTGGTGTTCATGTCCACGGCTCACCCTTTGTTTAGTTTTCCTGCTACCAAGGCAGCGCGTCGGCAGGCCGCCGGCCGCACCCGGCTCCTCCCCCGCTCCCCCAGCTGTGCATGCGTCGCCCCCACACCACATTGCACCCACACCCACGCACACACCCGCCCCGTGCAGCCCTGCTGATGTGCCGCTTTGCCGCCCCCCTGGCCTTCAACTTCATGGCCGCTATCGCCATGCCAGAGACCAAGGGCCATGGCACGCCGGTGGGTCAGGCGCCGGCAATGGCGCCGGCGCTGGCCGCGCGGGGGGGGGGATGCCACGACACGGCATGGGGCGCGGCGTCGGCATGCGGGGCGGCGGGATGGCTGCCTGGGCTTCAGGCAGGTTGCGGCCCCGCCCCTCGTTTTGCTCCGGCAGCTCGAGCCGCCCCCAGCGGCTGCTGCCCTGCTGGCCTTGCCCCGCAGGATGTGACCTCCACTGTGTTCTACTCTGAGTTTGGGCAGCTGATGATGCGGCAGCCGCTGGTGAGCTGGCCCTGCGTGTCGATGCGGGTGCCGAGCGTGGCGCTGCTCGCCGCTGCCGGCTGGAACAGCGTGCCGACGCAGGTGCCTGCCTGCCTGCCTGCCTGCCTGCCTGCCTCCCTTCCCTGCCCGCCCGCCTGCCCGCCCCTGCAGATAGGCTGGCAGTTCACCACCTTTGCCCCCGTGCTGCTGGTGCCCTGGGTGTTGCTACTGGCCAGGTGCGGCGCCTGCTGCTGCTCGTGCCTCCCTCACTTTCTTGTTGCTGCATGCCCCCTGCATCGGCTCACACGTGCCGCTGCCGCCGCCGCCGCTCCTCGCCCACCCGCGCGTCGCCGCCGCTCGCCTGCCCCCTGCTGCAGCGGCGTGTTTGGGCACCTGATGGCCTTGTTCAAGCGTGGAGACGCGCTTGAGGTGGGCTGTCGGCTTGCGGTTCTGCCAGCTGAATCATCATTCATCAATTCATCTTTCTGATTATGATTCAGCAGCACTGTTTCGGCAGCCACGCGCAGCAGGAACCGCAGCGCCGCGCCTGCTCCCCTGCATCCCATGCCTGGCTGGGTGTGAACACCCCCTCGCCCCCCTCTCAGCTCGCTGCCTGGCGGCTGCCCATGCCGCCGCGCTCCCGCCCCGTCCCTGCTGCCGCGCAGTTTGAGGATGAATGGCAGAATGACGGCTGCGCCGCCGCCGGCCGCCGCCTGCTGCTCCTGGAGTCTGGTGGGTGTGTGTGTGTGTATTTGTGTGGCTTTGGCTGTGTGTGTGTGTGTGTGTGTGTGTGTGCTCTGTGAGCGCCCCCCTGGCTGTCCGCTTCCCCAGCACCTTTGCTCAATGCCCCGGTCGGCTCGCCTGCTTGGTTTGCCTGGGCGGCTGGAGGCGGGGGCGGCTTGCATGCCTGACCCAGGCTCACCCGCGTTTGCTGCCTTGGTGCGCCTGCAGAGAACGTGAGGAATGGGCTGCCGCCTGGGCTGACTGTGGAGCCCGCGGCCGCAGGCGGAGGAGGCGGCGGCGGCGGCGGCTCGGCCCACGTGGCGGCGGCCGCGGGCGCCGCCACCGGCCTGCTGGGCACGCTGCGCAGCGCGGCGGCGGCCGCAGCGGCGGAGCGGGCGGCGTCGCGGGCGGGCGGGGCGTGGTGGAGGCGGCTGCTGCCCGGCGGCGGGGCTGGCGCCGGCGGGGGCGGCGCCGGCGGCGACGACAGCGAGCTGCGCCTGTCTTCTGAGGCCCAGGCGGCACGCGGCAGGCTGAGCAGGCTGGTGGCGCAGCCGGGCGGCGGCGGTGGCCGCGCGGCGGCAGGCTACAGCAGCCTGCCGTCAGAGGCGCCCCCCTCCCGCCCCCTCCGGGCTGCCGCGGGGGGCGGCGAAAGCACCGGCGCAGGCGGCGGCGGCGGCGACCCGTTTGCCGGCTCGCCGCCCTTTCCACCCGCTGCTGCGGGGGGCATAAAGGCCGCCCGCGCCAAGTTCTTAGCAGGCGCAGCGGCGCCGCCGCCGCCGGGGCAGCTGCAGCAGAGGGGCAGCGTCGACGTTGAGGCGAGCGGCGGGGGTGGTGCCAGCAGCGGAGCAGCAGGCGAGGATTGACCAGATGGAGTCTGCTGTGCTGCTTCCAAGCATTCAGCTGCTTCCAAGCATTCAGCTGCTTCCGAGCACTCCTGTGCTGCTTCCGAGCATTCCATGGATGATGCCGGCATCACCCTGCCTTGCCCGCTAATCTCCCCCTTTGGAACCCCCTGCTCCCACTCCAGCGCGTGCGTCCCTTGCATGTAACACCGCACAGCAGGCACACAGCAGGCACACAGCAGGCACATAGCAGGCACCCGCCTCCCCGCCCCCATCATTGGGATATGGTGCCGCTGCCGCTGCCGCCGCTGCCTTGCAGGGCGCTGCCTTGCCGCCGCCGCCCGTTCCCGACGCTCCCCACCCGCCGCACTCTTCGCCGCGGCTCGCTCCCCCGCTGCCAGCCGCTACTGTGCTGCCACACTACTGTGCCGCCACGCTGTCGAAGCGGAAGGTCACGTAGCAGTACTCCTCGCCGCTGCCCGGCTCCACCCGGTAGGCGGCATATTCTGTCGGTACCAGCTTGCCGCGGCCCAGCGCGCCCGCCACCCTGCGCAGTTGGTTGGGCGGCGGGGAGGACAAGGCAGCAACGCAGGTGGAAGTTGGGGCACCCCGCTGGAACGGCTGGAACGGCAGCGGCAGCGGCGGCGCGAGGCGCGGGCGCAGGCGGGCCGCGCGGGCCCCGCCGCCACTCACGGCACCGCCTTGTGCCCGCTGTAGCGCACGATCCAGGTGCGGCGCTCGGTCTCGCCGCGGGGCAGGGGCCGCACATAGTCGTCAGAGCGGAAGCTGCGGGAGGGGAGTAGGCAGGCAGGCGCTCAGCCCGCAACGCCACCCATCGCTTGATGCTTGCTTGGCCGGACCCAAGCTAGCGTGCCGCTCCCCCCACAGCCAAGAGCGCCCAAGCGTCAGCAGGCCGGGCAGCAGCCCAGGCAGCCGCAGCAGCCCGGGCAGCAGCAACAACAGCAGGCAAGGCGGCGGCGGCGGCAGGGCACCTGGCCACCAGGCCCGCCTCATCGAAAGTGAAGATGCCGCTCACGGTGGTGCCGCGGTGGGTCAGCACGGCCCGTGCCTCTGCAGCCAGGGCAGCACACGCGAGCCGCCGGCATGGGCTGGCGGCTAGCTGGGGCAGCGCGGGAGGCAGGTGCGTGAAACATTGTGCGAGCAGCCGGTGGCTCTGGGCCTGGGCCTGGGCACCCGGCCAGCCATGTGGCTCCCACTCACTGTCGTCGCAGCCGGGCACCGCCTCCCAGCGCAGCAGGGGGCTGGGCAGCAGCGCCTGCGGATAGCCAGGCGCCTCTGCAGTTGGTCGGCAGCAGGGGGGGCAAGCCTGGGTACACGTGCGCGGCTGCGAGGGGGAGACCGGCAGGCACCCTTGCACTCTTCTGCCAGCGCGAGTCCCAGCCAGCGTCGCCGCCATCCCGGCACACCCCCCACCAATCGTCCTGCCGCCCACCCACCTGCCAGCCACCGCACCAGCATGGCGCGGTCGGTGAGCGGCCCCGCGCCCGACAGCGCGGGCAGCCAGCCCCAGAAGCGCCAGTCCACGCTGCCCTTGCCGCCCGCGCGGCAGTCAAACCCTGCGTGGCAGCACGGCGGGGGTGCGTGCATGCGTGCATGGAGGATCTGGGTTCACAATCACATGCACATGAAGCATAGACCATTCTAGGCTTCAAGTATCGTCGCGACTTGCTGGCGGGTGCAGGAGCTTGGAGGGGCCTGCCCCATGGGATCCTTGCGCTCACCCCTGAGCCCCATCAGCGGCAAGAAGCCGCAGCGCGCGGCCCAGAAGAAGGCGGGCACACGGGGGCTGACCACCTGCGGTGCATGTCAGGCACTGTTTTAGGGCCTCATTGCAAATCTGAGTGCAGAGCCCGAGTCTGAGCCACAAGCAAGGAGCAGCCGCTCAAGGCAGCGGCGAAGAGCAGGCGCTCTGAGCAGGCGGGCGGGTGCCCATGCACCTGGGTGGCGGCCAGAGCTCTCCACGGCAAGTTCTTGCCGTGCCGGAACTCTCCCGACTGCTGGGCCGTCACCAGCCTGCGCCAGCAACAGCACATGGCTCGCTTGAGGGTAATCTGGTGCTTAAGGTGTCTGATGGTGGCATTCTCGCCGGCGGCAGGCGCTTGGCAGGGGAAGGCCAGCCCCCACCCACTCACGTGAAGTCATCGGCGCTGGCCCCTACGCGCTCCAAGTTGCGGCGCACGCATGCTGGCAGCTCGGCAAGGGCCTGGGGTGCAAGCAGGGCTGCCCCAGCGGGGTCGGGCCGGGCAGCGGCGGCAGCCTCTGCCTCCACCGCGCGCCTCGCCGCCGACTCCTTCTTTACATAGGCGGCGGTGAGCCACGACAGCGGATTGAGCCACGCGAAGCTCGTCCAGCCCATTACGCACTGCTCTCGGCCTGACATGCGAGGAAGTCGAAACGGGGACGGCTGGATGGCTCGGACGCTAGTCCCTCGAACTCCCGGCGAGATACAGTGCCGCCTGTTTCCCCCAACAACGAATTCAAAGGGGACGGAGTCTACCCTGCTGGGCCTGCGGTGCAAGGCGGGCATGCCATGCCGCGCCGCCGTCACCCTTTTCGCACCTGCCTGTTACGATCGGCACCATGTTAAACCCGGCCGCGCACGCGCAGAAAGGGCAGAGGCGCGGCGCGGCAGCGAACAGAAGCCGAGCGGAGATGCAGGCGGACGGCGGTCTTGAGACTAGTGGAGGGGGACGACGGAGGGCGGAAAAGGCAGGGATGGGGGCTGGTAAAAGGGGTCGGGGGCGCTGGGGAGCAGATGCCCGCAGGTGGGGATAAAGCGGCGGCTTGTATTCAAAGAAAGCAGGCGGATGCAGGGTCATGAACAGGCAGCGTGGGCGCAAGGCAGGGGCAGTGAGGAGCTGGGCGGGAGGGGAGTCGGGGGGGTCCAGGCTGCGCGGGACGGCAGCTGCTCAACTTGGTGCATCCTTTTCTCTCGTCTGATAAATCGCTGGTGGTCGCTAGGCCCGGGTGTGCTGCCGTCCAGTCATCATGCCGTGAGGTACTGGAGCTGGGCGCTCAGCGGGAGCGGCCCGCCAGCCAGCCCTCCCGCGCCGGCTGCCGTCACGCTCCGGCAGCACACGCCCGGCCGAGGGCGGCGCAGGCGGCTCACACCTTCTCCACCACCACCTGCAGCTTGACGGCGGTCATGGTGTGCTTGTCGCCTGTGCGGTCCTCCTTCTCAACCTCCTGCAGCGCGGGACCAAGGCGGGCAGACGCCCAGAGGGCGGCGTGACGTGGCCGCCGCAGCACCGGCAAGAGACGTGTGCACTGCAGCACACACACCCGCCGCTGCCCCTGCCAGTGCCCCACCCGCGGGGCTGCACCCGGCCAGACGCTGCCGAGGCGTTCGAGGGCGGTGCAAATACCAGCGCCCAGGTGTACACAGAGCGGAGGAGCGGCGCCCAGGTGTGCAGGGGCGGCGCGGGAGCACTGCCCGGTTGTGCAGGGGGCGCAGGGTGTGCGGGTGGTGGGTGCGGTGCGCACCTCGAAGGACGGTACCACGCGTATGTCCAGGTGGTCCTGCTCCAGGTACAGCCGCGCGTGGCACACCGCCATGATGGCGTTGCACACGGCCTCGGGGCCGATGCCTGCGGGTGGGGTGCAGGTGCAGGTGGGGAGGGGAGGGGGCGTGCGGGCATGAGACGGCGGCGCGAGGAGCGGCGCGAGGGGGCGGGTGCGGGCGCGGGTGCGGTGGCAGGGGTGCTCTGGCTCTCGGCGCGTGGGCGGCGTTGCGGCAGGCGGGGCGGGGCGGCCGGGCGCGCGCGCGGGCGGACCTGTGATGTTGGGGCAGCCGCCCTCGCGCGCGCGGTTGGAGATGGCGCCTGCCACCACCGTGGGCTTGCTGCCCTTGCCCGCCGTCAGCTCGCTGGCCTGCAGGCGGGGCCGCGAGGGCACGCGGGGGCAGCAAGGGGGGTCGGCGGGGCGGTTGCAGGGCAGCGGCGGCAGCGAAACGGTGCAGGCAGGCGCCCGGCCGGCAGGCCAGGCCAGGCCAGGCCAGGGGCAGCCAGCCTCGCTGGTACAACACCGGCTGCCGCCCACATTCTGTATGAGGCCCTCTGTGGCGCGCTTGGACTTGGATGAGACGTAGAGGGCCAGGGAGTTGGCCATGCTTCTATCGCGGAAGGCCGGCTGCACAAACAGCTCCAGGCTGTCCTCCTCTAGCAGCCGCCGCGCGATGGCCACCGCCTGCGCAGGCGCAGCAGCGGCAGGCGTGGCGGGGCGGTGAGGCACAAGGGGGAGGCGAGCGGCCCGCCTGGCGACCTTAGGCTGGCGAAGGCGGCGTCCGAGCAGCCAGGCGCGGCCGCGGCCCAGGCGCGCGCTGCTGCCACAAGAGCCTGCCAGCCAGCCAGCATGCCGCCACCGCGCCAGGAGCACCCACCCACCCACCCGGTCCACCCACCCACCTTGATGGCACAGTTGATGGCGGGGGCGCCGGTGGCCAGCAGCGGCATGTGGCTGTTGTTGCGCGCGTTCCACGCAATCTTGGCAGAGTAGTGCCGCGGCTCCTCCTTGCTGGAGATCTGCGGCGGTGCGGCGGGCGGGAGACGGGTGGCGGGGTGAGGCACTTCGCTGTGGCACGCCGGGTAGGGGGCGGCTCGGCGCCGGCACCTTTTGCTTGCTGCCAGTTGGTTGGTGGTCTGACTGCCGGCTGCCCGCAGCAGCTGCAAGCGCTGCGCTGCACAGAGCGGCTGCCGGCTGCTCGCCCAAGCCCTGCCCTTCCAGCCGTGGCAGCCGGGCAAGGGGGAGGTAGGTGGCTGGCGCCGGTGGCGGGCGGGCCGGCGACAAGGGTGGCCGCTGGCGCTCGCGCGCGTCACCTCCCTCTCCACCCTTGGCCTTGCGCACCTTGATGAAGTCCACCAGGGAGGCATCCTCCTCGCCTGGCCGGAATGCCGCGCCCGACATCTTGCTGTCGCGAGTGTATGGGTGGTACTCCCTCTCCTCCCGCCTGTTGCTGCTGCGGGTCACCCGGGGTTGGCGTTCCTCCGAGTCCTCCCTCTCCCTACGGCGACTGCGATCCGCCAGTGTGACTGCGATACGGTAGCTGCTACGATTGCTTCAGCAGCCGGCAGCTGCGGAAGGAGTGCTGCAGGGGGAAAGGGCGCAGATGTGGGGGAGATGGTCCGAGGACGGCTGAAAGAGACGGGGGGGAGCCCAAGAGAGGGATGCTGAACCACAAGCGGATCACGGTAGAGCCCTGCGAACTCCTGCAAGCGCGGCTAGCCGCTCACACGGTTGGGCTTTCCAGTTCCGTCCTAGCTGGCCATGAAGACAAAATGAAGCCAGAAGCGGGTCTTACATGGTCTCCAGAGCTGCTGCGACACGTATTTGTGGCCTTAGGGAGCAGTTTCAGGTCCTGCCAGGCCACCATTCGTCGTGTGGCGTCGTATTGCCCCTCTCAGTTGCAGTGCCGGGGTTCCCCGCCTTCAGCTCTTCTGGCGTGGGTAGAAGCCCTGATCGTACAGCTGGGGTCTGGTCCAGCTCCAGCTCCAGCTCCAGGAGACGTCCCACCTGCTGCCAGCTCCAGGAGCTGTGTCGGTACCCGGTCAGCGTCGAGCGGGGGAAAGGAGACCAGGGAGTCAAATGGGATGGGATGATCCCACTTCCATTTCCGGCATGGGGACTCCTGCATAACGGCCCATCGAAACGTCTTCATGCACAGGCACACTGAGCGCCTGGTGCATCTGCTTGGCCCTTTGCGAGTGGCCGCCGCCGCTGAGCATGCTTTGGCCTGGCGACGGCGTCTGGAGGGAGTGAGCCTGCACTTCAGATGCCCAGCACCACCAAATGGTCTCTGCAATGCACAGTAGTGAGGCCCTCCTGCACAAGGCATTGCGCTGGTATTGCCCCGGTTGGGGAGGCGGCGGGTGGCACGAGGCGGGCACTTGGACAGACTGCAGTGTGTCAGTCACGGCGAGCTGAAAGTTAAGGGCAAACATCAGACTGTTGTCAGCAAGCTCAGCATCTCTTCCTGGACAGGCAGGCTGTGGCAGATGGACCAAATGAGGCGAGCGGCAGCGGGCGGCGTGGCGGGCGCGGCGGACCTGCCAGCCTGTCGGGACGTCTCCCCGTGTGGCAATGCCTTTCGGCTTCATCTTCACATACCATGGTGGACAGGGAGGAGGGCCAGGCGAGGGCAGGCGCGCCGTGGCACCTTGTTCTGAACTCCCTGAGCGCTATCGCCCAAGAGACTAGCGGGCGGGGGCAGGCGCAAAAGGATGTGCGGGAGGCGGCCATCAAGCTCCTAGGTGCGCGCCTCGGCCCGATCGGTGGGCACCACGATCAGCTTTCGGACCGTTTGTGTAGACCAGGCCCCTGCGCCCGCTGATGCTGCAGAGGAGCTGGGGGTTGCGGAGTTTGGCAAGCCGGGGGGCAGGCTGAGCATCCCCTTCCCACCGGACGTCACCTCACAGGTGCGGGCCCCGCCCGCACCGCCCACCCGCCGCTGCTTCAGCCTGTGGCACAGACGTGACCCAGGGGTGCTGCTGTGCAAAGTGGGCTGTGGCTGTTGAATGGATTGGGCAGCGCCGCTGCACTGCAGCAGGGGTAGCCAGCCAGCCACGGCGTCGTCCCCGCGTGGGGTGCGGGCCACACAGCCTGCTGCCGCCGCTGCCGCTGCTGCGGCTGCTACCCCCGCATTCCCACCATTTGCCGCCCCCTGCTCCCACCCTGGCGCGACCTCGCTGTCCCCACGCTGGCCGCCGCCTGCAGCTGCTGGGCGTGCTGCGCGGCGCGCTGTCGCTGGGCAACCCGCGCCTGGCGGAGCCCGCCCTCAGCTGCATGCACAAGCTGGTGGCCTATGCCTACCTGCAAGGCGAGACGGGGCCGAGCGGCCGCCTGGACGACGAGTCGAACGTAGTGACGCAGGCGGGTGCTGGCGGGGAGGCTGGTTTGCGTCAGATGCCGGCGGTTCTGCACCGCCGTGCGCCGCATCGGCGGGCCGGCATGGCCGGCGGCGGCACGCTCGGGGAACGCTGCCGGCCAGTGCTGCAGCTGCTGCACCGCTGCTGCACGCACCGCGTGGATGCGCTGCGACTGCAACCGCGACCGCAACGCCTGCAGGTGGTTGCCATGACGGCCAAGTGCGGAGAGAGCAACTCCGCCGCCACCCAGCTGCAGGTGGTCAAGGCGCTGCTGACCTACGTCACGGGTGGGTGGCGGCGGCGGCTGGCGGGTGGACTGCCCGGAAGCTTCCCGCTGCCCTCCTGCCCGCTTGCGCCTGCATCCGCTCCCTGCACGCCAAGCCCGCTCGCAGCTGCCTTGCCCCACACCCCGCCGCGCCGCCTGCTGCCTGCCCGCGCCCCGCCTCACCACCTGCTGCCTGTCCGCGCCCCGCCTCACCGCCTGCTGCCCCCCCCCCGCGCCCGCCGCCTGCCCGCAGCGGAGCACTTCATGGCGCACGGCGACTGCCTGATGGCCGCGGTTCGTGCCGTGTTCAACACCGCCATCGGCGCCGAGTCTGCCGACATCCAGAACACGGCGCGCAGCGCGCTGCTGCAGATGCTCAACACTGTGCTGAAGCGCGTGGGGCAGCAGATCCTGGTGGGCGGGGTGGGGCAGGCGGCGGCGGCACGTGGGTGTGGGTGTGGGTGTGGGTGTGTGGGTGTGGGTGTGTGGTGCGCTGCGTGTGGTGGGCTGCATGTGGTGGTCTGTGTGGGGCCCTTGAGGGCAGGGGCCTGGGAGCCCAGCTGGGCAGCTGTGTGGTGGAGCGAGGCCGAGCGTGGCCAGCGGCGGGCAGCCGGGGCAGGTTGCCAGGGCTGGCCGCCCGGCACGCGCCGATTCCTGCCTCCCCGCCGCTGTCGCCTGCCGCGCCGCAGAGCCCCAACGGCACGCCGCTGCCCAGCCCCTCCCCCAACATCTTCCGCCCGCCCTGGAGCGGCAGCAGCAGCGCCAACGACGTCACGGCGGCGGCCGCCGGCGCGGCGCTGGCGGCCCTGGCGGCGGAGCGTGCCGGCGGCGGCAGCGGCGGCCCCTCCTCGCTGCACGGCGAGGAGCCGGGCGCCAGCCGCGGCGGCTCAGCTGTGGACCTGGCGGCCGTGGGGGACAGCCAGCCGCTGTCCCCCACAGAGAGCGCCGTGCTCATGGATAGAATTTCCCAGGAGATGAGCGTGCCAGCGGCGGCCTTCAGCGCCGGTGGCAGCCCCGCCACGCCGCAGGCGGCCGAGGCGGCTGCGGCGGCGGCGGCCGCTCTGGAGCTCGGCGCGCGGCCCAGCGCTGACGTGGCGGAGGCGGCTGACGTGGCGGCCATGGCTGCTGACATGGCGGAGCTGCAGGCGGCGCTGCCCCGCATCCAAACCTCGCCGCCCACGCCGGAAGGGGCCACCCCAGTGGGAGCCACGCCCGGGGTCACGCCCGGCACCGCGGCCGGCGCCGCCGCCGGGGCAGCGCACGCCGCGGGGCCGGCCACCGCAGAGCAGTTTGTGGCAGCGGCGGTGCAGGCGGATGCGCGCACCGCGCAGCTGGCCACCCTGGCGGAGCAGTCTGACCTGCGGGGGCTGGAGCGCGCTCTGGACAGCCTGCCTCAGGCAGACCACTCCGCCGCGGCGCACAGGCCGCTGCGGCGGCAGGACACGCCGCCAGACCCGCGCAGGTACGCGGGGATGCGCATGTGCAGCCGGGGCGGGGTGGGGTGCGGAGTGAGAGGTCCTCGGCTAATGCACCGCAATGGCAGTGTGTGGGGGTGCATCCGAGAGGGCGATGGGGTCCCTGGAATAAGGATTGCCAGCTGCTTTCGCTGGATCGCCCAGTCATCACCCGCCTCGGTGTGCCTGGCTGGGGCCCGCAGGGCGTTGATGCGGGACCGCCGGGCAGCTGCCTGGAAGATGCTGACCCCTGTGGAGAAGGATGCTCTCATCGTGCTCACAGCCATGAGCAAGGTGGGGCTGGGCCGGGGCTGCAGGCTGCCTGCTGGCCTGCCGCTGCCGCCATTCGCACCCTGGCCAGCTGCGCATTTCGCGCAGCCCTCGCTTAGCAGCTGTGCTGCGTGCCTCTGCAATCCCGCAGATGGCGGCGCGCGAGACGGGGTTTGGCGCCGTGGAGAGCTACATGCACCAGGGCAAGCTGCTTGCGCTGGACCTGCTGGTGCGGGTGCTGACCAACCCCATGCACGACTGGGCCCACATGCGCCCCGAGTTTGCGGGTGAGCCGCGCGGCTGTGGGTGGCGGCGGCTGCTGCGGCTGCCGTGCCGCTGCGGGCGGGCTCTGCTGCTGCCGCGGCTGCCAGTGCGGCAAACGGCAGCCGGAAGGGAGCTGGGGCACGGGGGCAGATGCGGAGGTGGGAAGGCGTTGCGTTGAGGGGTTTGGGCTGCGCCAGCTGGCTCAGGCCGCACTTACCTCCAGGCCCGCCTTTGCCATGCCCTCTGTGCACCAACCTGCCTTGCTGCTCCCCTGTCCCCCCGCCCCCCCCCCCCATCGCAGCCGAGCTGCGCTACCCGCTGTGCCTGGTGCTGCTGCGCAACTGCATGTCGCCATATGACCAGGCGGTGACGGCGGCGGTGCGCCTCTTTGAGGCCATTCTGTCGGCACAGGTGTGCGAGTTTACATTATTTATATATTTTATTGTTCGACTTGCCGTGCTGGCGGGGTTGAGCTTCTGCCTTCGCAGCGCCTGGCTTCGGGACAGCCCTGCCAGCAGCCGCCCCGTGCATGGGACGGGCGCGGTGGCAGGAAGCAGGCATTGCCGGCAGGCTTCACGGGCGGAGCATGGGCCTCCCCTGCCTGGCCCCCGCCTTGCCGCCCGCCCGCACACTGCCCGCGCTGCCCCGCTGCTGCCCGCCCATCTGCCCGCGCTGCCTGCGCTGCCCTGCTGCCGCAGAAGCTGCGTGCGGGGCTGAAGGCGGAGCTGGGGGCGCTCTACCCGCTGCTGCTGCTGAAGCCGATTGAGGCGGGGGCGCCCGACAGCCAGCACGGCGTGGCCATGGCGGCGGAGGGCGTGCTGCACGTGTGCAGCCACCCGCAGGTGGGCCCAGGCAGAGGCGGGGCGGTGGCGGAGGCGGGTGTGGGTTGGGTGGCTGGCGGGTGGGCTTGGCGCACGCGAGGGGGCATGCCCGCTCGCCTCCCCAACAGCAGCTGTGCTGTGGCCGGCGCGAACGCCGACCCCTCTCCTTGCTCTCCTGTTGCCTACCCACCCACCGACTCTCGCCACCCCACCCCACCCGCCGTCTCCCTCCCTTTCCTGCAGATACTGGTGGATTTGTTTGTGAACTACGACTGCAGCCTGCAGGCAGCCAACCTGTACGAGCGTACCATCAAGGCGGTGCGCAAGCTGATTGCGCTGCCGGAGCCCAACCCGCACTTCACCCCCGCGGTCACCCAGGCGAGAGGCGCTGCGCTGTGCTGTTGCTGTGCTGCGCTGTGCTGTGCTGCGCTGTGCCGTGCTGTGCCGGTTGGGCTTGATCCGGGCAGGGCAGGGGCGGGGCAGGGGCACGGCAGCAGACGAGGCTTGGGCGTGGACCCTCATTGTGGACCCCGCCTGCGCAGCCGTGCTGGCTGGCATCCCCGCAAAGCGCTCCCCCTGCTCGCTTCTCACCTCCCCGACCATCGCCCCCACCCCTCGCCCCTCCCTGCCATGCCGTCCGCCCTGCAGAAGCTCAAGGAGACTGCCCGCAAGGCGCTGCTGGCTGCCATCAAGTCGCTGGACACATGGGCTGGGCCCATCAAGTCGGCGGCGGCGGCGGTGGCGCTGGCGCCAGACGGCGGCGAGGCCGGCGCCGCCGCGGGCGAGGCCGCCGCCGCCGGCGAGCGCACGCCTGGCGCCAGCCCGCTGCCACGGGACCGCCAGGTGCGACGCTGGCCTGCGCGGGCCTTTTGGGGGCGGCAGGCCGGCCGGGCGCACGGTTGCGCTTGTGCCCAGGGCCCAGCTGCTGCACGGCTGGGGATGGGATGGCCCAGCGTGGCTGCAGGTGGATCCGCCCCGCCGATGCCCGCCTGCCTGCCTGCCTGCCTGCTGCTCCTGGGGGGTGCAGGAGCTGCAGCGCATCCTGGCAGACAAGGAGCTGAAGGACGCGCTGCTCAGCGGCATCCACGCCTTCAACCAGAACGCGGTCAAGGGTGCGGGCTGATGGTGCTGATGGGGGCGCGCCCCGCACCTGCCGCTGCCTCCCTGCCGTGCCTGCATCCCTGCCGTGGGTGGTGGATTGCGGGGCCCGCCCGCTGCCGACGCCTCGCCTGCCCCCACAAAGCGCCGCTCATGCCTCATGCTGCGTGCCCCGGCTCGCCTGCCTGCGCGGCGCAGGCCTGCGGCTGCTGGTGCAGAGCGGCGTGGTTGCGGACGGCTCCCCCGCCGCCGCCGCCCGCTTCCTGCGCGAGCATGCTGCGCGGCTGGACAAGGCGCAGGTGGGGGAGCTGCTGGGGCACCACGAGGACCACTCCATTCAGGTGGGGGGCCGCTTAGGCGCACAAGTGCATGGCTGTGTGGCGGGCGGCTCGAGCACGGGAGCATGGGACTGCGAAGCAGGGTGGTGGCGCGTAGCGGCATGTTGCGGCATTGTGGGGGGGAGCAGCGAGCGAGCTCTATCACTGCCTGCCTGCCTGCCTGCCTAGCCCACGGGCGCTCCGCCGAAGGCTCACGCGCGGCGCCACTGCCGCTTTTCTCGCTTTCCTCCTCCAGGTGATGCACTGCTACGTCGACATGGAGCAGTACGGCGGGCTGAGCTTGGACGAGGCGCTGCGCCTCCTGCTGGCCGGCTTCAGGTGCGGCCAGCGCTGGGCTGGGTTGGAAGCACTGGGTGTCACAACCCTGCTCCTCCCCACCTGCCCCGCCAGCCCCAGCCTGCCGCCGCATGGTGCCAACGACCCCTCCGTCTCCCTCGCACACCCCACCCCCGCACGGACCGACACCCTCGCCCACCTTGCCTGTGCAGGCTGCCTGGGGAGGCCCAGAAGATTGATCGCATCATGGAGAAGTTTGCGGAGCGGTACTGCAAGGACAACCCGCAGGCATTCAAGACGGGTGGGTGGGTAGGCGGGTGCAAGGGCAGGAGGATCATGGGTGACGCCCGGCAGTCGAGGGTGCGGCGGGAGGCGGGATGGGGGTGTGCACGGGCAATGGCGTGTGGCAGGCGGTGGGGAAGAGAGCTGCAGGAGGCCGCCTGAGAGCGGGCTGGGCATCAGGGGAGGTCCCCAGCCGGGGCTGGTGGTTGAGGTACTGCGCGTGCCCGCGACGCCACTGCCGCCTGCAGCCGACGGCGCCTACCTGCTGGCCTTTGCCATCATCATGCTCAACACAGACGCGCACAACCCCATGGCAGACAGGTGCGAGGCACAGGGCCTGGCGCTCGCCGTGGCGCCGCCTGTGGCTGCCTGCCGCTGCACGGCGCGGCACGACTGCTGGCCTGCCCGCCTTGTGAGACCCACGCACGCGCGTGACCGCACATGTATGTACTCTCTCTCTCTCTCTCTCTCTCTCGCTGCCCCCTGCACCCACACACACGCATGACCGCACACACCACACACACCCTCTTCATCTGCTGCCCCCTTGCACGCCGCCCCTGCCCTCCCGCCCTCCCCCCTGCAGGCGCATCTCCGCCGATGACTTTGTGTCCATGGCGCAGTGCCAGGTGGAGGGGGGGGAGGGGGAGGCGGCGTTTGAGCAGATCCTGCCCACCCAGGACCTGCTAGAGATCTACGGCCGCATCACCCAGGAGGAGATCAAGGTGGGTGGGTGGGTTTGGGGGGCGCTGTGGTACTGGCTGTGGTACTGGTCGCCGGGGTTTGGTAGCCGCCTGCGTTTGCCGCCAGCACAGTGTGTGAGTAGCATGTGGGCCGGCCGAAAGGGCCCGGAGGCCGCGGGGCCGGCTGCCAGCCAGCCGGCCTGTGTGTTGCTCGACGCCGGCCGGTTGCTTGCCTCCCTGGCAGGTGGCGGGCGAGGAGGAGGCGGCGCCCGCGCCCGGCAACGGCAAGCAGCGCGGCGGCGGCGCTGGCGGCGACAAGCGTGCCGAGGGCTCTCGCCGCGCCAAGCTGGCGGCGGCGGTGGGGGTCACCCAGATGGTGCTGCCCTTCTGGTCTGGGGCCACCTGGGACAAGCAGCACGGGGTGGACGTGGAGCGCAAGCGCCTGCTGGAGTTCACGCGCCAGATGATGGCCAGCGGCGGCGCGGTGGCGGGCAATATCTGGCACACCGCCACCCACGCCGAGCATGCGCGGCCCATGATGCAGGCGCGCGCGCGGCGCCTGGCATGGAATCCGGCCACGCTGCAGGCGTGGCAGCCCGCATGAGCGGGCAGCCGCCCTCTCGTGCCCCTCCCTCCCCCCGCTGAGCAGCCCTGCGTGCGGCTCTGCTGCCCTGCCCGCCTGCAGGTGTCTGGGGACGCCTTCCTGCAGTGCCTGAAGCTGGCCCTGGATGCCGCGCCCAACATGCACCAGGCGCTGCAGGTGCGGCAGGCCCCTGCCGCTGGCGGTGTGGCAGTGTGGCTGCAGCAGAGCGCGATGCACTGGCGGGCATCCCTCCCTGCCCCGGCCGCCTGCTAGGCATCCTGGCTGGCTTGGGCTTCCCCTTGACCGCTGACTTCTGCCTGCGCTGTGCAGATCCTGGGGGGGTATGAGCAGGTGGTGCGCCTAGCGGCGCTGCTGAGGCTGGAGGCCATCTGCGAGGCGCTGATGGTGGGGCTGGCGGCGGCGGCAGGGCTGGCGGCGCCCGCGCCGCACAGCTCGGCGGCCGAGGCCAAGCAGGTGGCGGCGCTGTCCAAGCTGGTCAGCCTGGGCAGCTGCAGCGAGGCGGGCATGCTGGGCAGCAGCTGGCTGGTGCTGCTGCGCGTGCTGAGTCAGCTGGAGAGGCTGCAGGCGCAGCTGCTGCCGGGGTCCAAGGACGGCCTGCCGCCACTGCCAGAGGGCGCCGCCGCCATCCTGGCCAGCAGCAGCCTGGACGCGGCGGCGGCCGCGGCGGCCGCCGCCTCGCCCGCGGCCTCGCTGCCGCCGCCGCCGCAGGCCGGCAGCAGCTTTGGCCGCCTGCTGCAGCGCATGGGCTTCTCGGGCGGCGGCGATGCGGGCGGCGGCGGCGGCGGCGGCGGCGGCGCGGCGTCCAGCCGCATGAGCGGCCTGCTGGCCATTAAGGACGCCCCCGGCGCGGGGCATGTGCTGTGGGCCGAGACGGCGGGGGTGGCGGCCATCGAGCGGCTGTACACCAACAGTGCTTCGCTGCACGGCGACGCGGTACTGTCCTTCATGCGGGCCCTCTGCGCCGTCAGCCAGGAGGAGCTGCACCCCAACCAGCCAGGTGGGCCGCCTTTCCGGGGGGCAGTGGAGGGCAGCGCCTGGCCCGCGATGCTGCGGCCCCTGCCAGCCCTCGCTCGCAGCCTGGCGCTCGCAGCCTGGCGCTGGCAGCCTGGCGCTCGCAGCCTGGCGTCAAGCGTTTGTTGCGGGTTTGCCTGCAGGGGAGCGGCCGCGCGTGACGCTGCTTCAGAAGGTGGTTGAGTGTGCGTACCACAACCAGGCCCGCATCCGCCTGGTGTGGTCCCGCCTGTGGAGCGTGGTGGCGCAGCACCTGGTGTCGGCGGCCTGCCACACGGGTGGGTGCAGGGGGGTGGCTGGGGGCCACCAGGGGGGCGCGCCGTGGCGCTCCTGCTGCTGGCTGGCCGGCCGGCTTGCCCCTTTCGCCGCCGCTCTCAGCGGCGCCGCTGCCCAAGCAGCCGTTCAACATGTAGACAAATGCCGCACGCCCTGCCCACCACCCAACACTGCAAACACCGTTGCAGACGCCTACGTGGCCATGTACGCTGTGGACGCTCTGCGCCAGCTGGCGGCCAAGCTGCTGGACCGCGCTGAGCTGGCGCGCTTCACGCACCAGGGCGAGGCGCTGCGCCCGTTTGCCGCCGTGCTGCGCCACTCAGGTGGGTGTGGCTGGCGGGCTGGAGGTGCCGGGCGGTGGAAGGCAGCGGGGGGGTGCGCGCCTGTTTTGGGCTTCATGCCCCAACCGCTTATCACAAACCGTGTGTGATGCCCACCCATCGGGCATGTGCCTCCCCACGCTCGCCCCGCAGACAGCCCCGCGGTGCGGGAGCTTGCGGTGGCGTGCGTGGCGCACGCCGCCTCTGCGCACTCCCGCGGCCTGGGCTCCGGCTGGCGCAGCGTGCTGGAGGCTCTGGCACTGGCGGCCCGCGACTCCTCCCCCGCAGTCGTCGGCCAGGCCCTGGACGCCCTGCAGCCCGTGATAGAGGCACTGTTCCGCCCCACGGGTCACACGCAGCTGAGGTGCGGGGGCGGGGGCGGGGGCCACGGGCCGGCGCGCGCACGCAGAACGAGGCAGCGGGGTGTGGGGTGTGTATGATGGCCGCCGCCGTCGTTCCCGGTCCTTCCAGGGCTGCTCCCAACAGGGCTGCTCCCAACAGCCGTGGCTTATGTGCCAGCCAACCTGGTGCTGCGCGTGCAGGGAGTGTGTGGCGGCGGTGGTGGCGGGGGTGGAGAACCCGCACGGCTTTGAGGACCTCAGCATTGGGGCGCTGTACCTGTTCCAGGTGGGCAGCACGTAGCAGTACGTAGCAGTACCATTCTGCAGCGCACACCGCGTCGCAGCCCCGGGTGCCCGCTGCAGCACGCACTCCGCAGACGCAACCATGCATATGTATGTTGCACACTCATGCTTCCCGCCTTGGCGGTGCAGGCGCTGGCGAGACGGCTGGAGGAGGCGTTAGCTGCGGGGCACGCTGACGAGGCGCTGGCAGCGCTCGCTTCTCGCAGCAGCCCCAGCCCGGAGAAGGCGCCACAGCAGGCGCCCGCCGCGCTCGAGGCCGCAGCATCTGCAGACCAGCAGCAGCAGGCAGAGGAGGCGGTGCTCGAGCCGCCAGCAGGCAGCTCGCAGCCCCTGCCGCCACCCCAGCAGCAGCAGCAGCAGCAGCCGGTGCAGGCGGCAGCAGCGGCGGCGGACGCCGCTGTCGCTGGCTGGCAGGTGGTGCTGGTTCCGCTGGCGGGTGTGGCTCGCGTGGATGTGAGGCCGCGGGTGGCAGACGGGGCGGCGGCGGTGCTGCTCCAGATCTTCAGGCTGCATGGGGATGGCTGGACGCCGGCGCAGTGGCAGCGCCTGTTCGAGGCTGTGCTGCTGCCGCTGCTGGCGCTTCCAGCAGACGGCGTGGCGGCGCTGGCAGCGGCAGGCCGCATGGACGGAGCCCACCTGCCGACCCCGGTGGTGGAGCTGGCTCTGGAGGGCGGCGGCGACAGCGGCGGCGAGCTGCTGGTGCCAGCTGGCAGGCGCACGACGGGCGGCACTGGCGCCGGCAGCTTGCTGGCGGCCGTGCCGTCTGCTCTGAGCTTCGAGGGACTAGACAGGTGGGCTGCTGAGGCATGCTGGCAACCGCAGCGCTCCCTCCTGCCCGGCCTTTCCCCGCTGTCCCTCCGTGTGCTGGCAGGCTGCCCATGCTTACCTCCGACGACCGCCCGCGAGGGTTTTTCCCTGCTGGGAGGTGCAGGCTGGAACGGCACGCCTCAGCCCACATGCCTGAGCTGTGGCAGCTCATTCTGGATGCTGACCTGGCGGCCGCCGCCGCCACGGCAGCCGAGGACCTCCAGCCCGCCGTGCGCCGCTCGGGCAGCAGCTCCGGCGGCGACGGCCGGCTGGGGCGCAGCGCCAGCACCAGCAGCGCCTCCTCGGCCGCCAGCTCGGCGGGGGGCGGCGCGGGCGAGCGCGGCGCGCGCCGCCGCCTGCCGCTGCTGTGGCAGCCGCTGCTGGCGCTGCTGCACCAGTACATCTGCTTCCCTGCAGAGTCGGCGGCCGTGCTGGGGGTCAACCAACTGCACCAGCTGCTGCTGGCGGCGGCTCCTGTGCTGGACGCCGCCTGCTGGCAGGCCGCGGTGCTGGCGCTGCAAGTGGTGTGCCTGCGTGACCCCTGGGCGCCCGAGGGCGCAGCCGCCACCGCCGCCAGCAGCAGCAGCAGCAGCAGGAGCGCAGCAGTCGCCGCCGGCAGCCCCGCCGCCAGCTTCGCCAGCCTGCTGGCGGCGGCCGGCGCGGCAGAGGCGCTGCGGCGGCGCAGCAGAGTGGCGGTGCTGCTGCAGCGCGTGGTGGACTCGCTGCTGCTGCAGCGCGGCGCCGCGATGCCGGGGCAGGTGCAGCTGCAGCTTCTGGACCTGCTGCACCGCAGCGTGCAGGCAGCGGCCGCCATCAACGGCGACGCGGGGCGGCGCGGCGCCGCCGAGCGCGCGCTGGCCGCCGGCGACGCGGCGGCGGCGGCCGCGCGCCTGCCCGCCGCTGACGGCAAGCAGCCGGGCGGCGCGCATGCGGCCTGGGCCCTGGCCGCCGACGCCACGGGAGCGGCGGCGGCTGCTGCGGCGGCGGCGGCGCAGGATGGTCTGGGCAGTGCCGGGGCCGATGATCTGGCAGAGACGCCGCTGGGAGCGGTGCTGCTGGGAGAGGAGGACGGCCCCGCTGCCTGGGAGCAGCTGCGGCCGGCGCTGGTGCGGCAGGAGGCGGAGGGAGGCTGCCTGTACATCGCCGCGCTGCAGCGCTGCGTGCGGGGCGCCGCCACCAGCAACAGCACGGGGCCGGCGGTGGCCGCAGAGTGCGAGGCCAGGCTGGCCGACTTCTGCCTGTGGGTGGTGCACGGCGCGGCGCAGCGCGTCGGCCCCGCCGGCGCCGAGGGGGCGGGGAGCGCGGCGGAGGAAGCGGCGGCGGCCGTGGCGGCCGCGCTGGCGGCGGCGGCGGCGGCCAGCCCAGGCAGCGCCGGCGGCATGATGGGCACGCCTCCGGGCGGCGGCGCGCCCAACCCTGCAGACCAGAGCTGGGACGATGCGGTCAGGTGCAGCAAGCCGGGGGCTTGGTTCTCGTGTGGATGGTGTGGAGCAGGGGAGGGGCGCTGCCGCATATCGGGCATGCAATGAGAGCAGGCTTCTTGTTATTTGGAGGCAGGGCCTGGCGCTGCTGCAATGGCCCCCCACTCGTGCTCCCTGTGCACACCCCTCTCCTGCCCGCTCCTTGCCTGCAGGGCTCCCCTGGTGGACGCCGCCCTACACGCCTATGCAGGGCTCAGCCCGCCGGTGTGGAGCCGACAGCAGGCGGCCGCCTTCCCGCACCTCGCCCGCCTCGTCTGCTCCCCCAGCCGCCCCGTGCGCAAGGCGCTCAAGGCGCTGCTGCAGCAGCACGTGCCCAGTGTGCTGGCCGCCACCTCCTAGACTGGGAGAGGCGCCTCTGGCGGCAGGGCCGGGGCTGGGCCCAGCAGGGGCTGGTGGATGGCTGCAGGGACTGCAGGCACGCCTACGTTTTCAGGAAATGTAACGAATACAAGTGAAGTGTAGTGGGGCTAGCGCCCACCAAGGCGGGCAAAGCAGGACCCAGGCGGCGGAACCCACGCGGCGGCAAGTGGCGGCCATCTTCCCACGCCGGCTGTAGCTTCTGTGGTGGCGTATTGACTGGGTTGGGTTGATTAAACCTGAGGGGCTGTGGGTTAGCAGTGCAAGTGGGACGTTCCGAGGGGCATCGGCGGTTGGGGCAATGCTGACGTGGATGCCGCTGGCGCCAAACCCTACCAAATGAATCCAGCGTTATTCATCCTGGCACGTCATTCCGACTGTGCAGGGGGCTCGGCTCCGAGGCGGCGCGCGAAGCCGCTGCCGCCGTGGCCGCCGCCCTGCGCTCAGGCGCATGCGGCGCCGCCAAGGCGGTGGGCGCCATCCAGCTGGCATCGGCCGTCCACGTGCTGGCGCACCACGGCACCGAGGGCGAAGGCACGCCGCCCGCAGCTTGCCTGCAATCGCTGCTGCGCCGCTCTCCTTGCTGTGTGCTGGCGTGACCCAACGTTTCCAACCTCCCTCGGTCGGTTGTGCCCCCGCTGCTGCCGAGACAAGACAAGACAAGACGCTGACACGTGCCGCAGGCCCGTCCCTGCGCCCCTCCCTGCCCGCCTGCAGCCCCGCGGGCGCCGCCGGAGCTGCAGCAGCTGCTGGTGGCGGCAGCCGCCGAGGTGGAAGACTATGAAGATTGGGAGCTGGCGGGGGCTGCCTTCCAGGCGGCCTGGCCCCTGTGCCTGCCGCTCGTAGAGCAGCTGGCTGCAGCGCAGCCCGCTGACTGCTGGGGCGTCGTGGACCGCGCCAGCCAGCTGCCCGCCGCGCCGCTGCTGGCGGCCTGCCTGGGGGTGGCCGCCCGCGCCTGCAGCCCCGACTTTGTGCGCTGCCAGCCCGACTCCGACCGGCACCCGGCCTGCCGCTGCGCCGCGCTGGTGCCCGCGCTGCTGGCGGGCGTGGGCGGCGGCGGGGCGGGGCCCGCGGAGCGGCGGCGGCGCGAGCGCCTGCTGTGCCACCTGGCGGACGCGCTGCAAGGCCTACGCCCCACCCGCAGCAGCCCCGACCGCAGCCCAGGTGTGGGCGGCTGGCTGGTGGAGGGCCGGCAGGCTTGTCAGCCCCCGCGGACCGCCTCCCCTGCCGCCATACAGATACACCACACATGCTTGTCGCTGCTACGTCGGCTGCCCTGCGGCTGCCCTGCGCCGCCACGCGCCTCGCCTCGTCTCGGCCTCACCTGCATCAGCAGCCCCGCCCTGGACCATGCTCGCCCCGCTGCCGCCGCTGCTGCCTGGCTGGCTGGCCGCCGGCGCTCGACCCTGAGCACCGGGGGCCCTTGCCTGCAGGCCATCCATAGATACGCGGATGAGCCGGCTGGAGCAGACAGCTTGAGCTACCTGCGCGCCTTGGGATGCATCCTGCGGGGCCTGCAAAAGCAGCTGCTCGCCGTCCTGCGCTACGGCGACATGCACCGCGGCAGGCTGCCCGAGGCCGTGAGCGTCGCGCCTGCCGGCAACCCCCCCTGCTTGCCACCTGCTCGCCACCTGCCGCCGGCTGTCGACAACCCAGCCCCTGGCTACGCCAGCCCGCTTGAACCTGCCGCGCCCCCTGCCGGCTTGCTGCTGGCTGCCCGCCCTGCAGGCGTGTGTTGAGCTGGGGGAGTCGTGGATGCGGCTGGTGCCCAAGCTGCACTCGCTGGCTAAGGGTCCCCTGGGTGAGCGGCACCGTGAGCAGCACCCCCCATGAGCAGCGCGTTTGACCCGAGCCTCCCCCTCCTGCACTGGCAAAGAAGACCAGACCTCCTGGCCTGACAAACAACTCTGGCATGATCAGGGTCGGCCGACCGCTGCATGGCGCTTTTGCCAGGCGCTGGCAAGGCCCACTGCTGCGTACAAGGTTGTTGCATCGCAACAGTACTCGGCTGCCCGCTGCTGCAGAGGGCAGCACCAAGGTGCCAGAGCGGGAGGAGGCTGTGTCGCCCATCCTGGGCTGCCTGGTGTTGCTGGCAGCCCTGGACACGAGCGGCCTGTCGCCCATGCTGCTGAGCTGCGCCGTGCAACACCTGATGCGCCGGGGCGGCCAGCAAGGTGAGTGGGACCCTCGATTCCCACTGCTGCCGACTGTGGCATAGCTGGCTGGCCCTGGGCCTGCATGCCCAGCCCTGCGTGCCTCCTCGGCATGCAATCGGTGCTGAGCCGCTGAGCCGCCGTGCCACACGAGCGCCCTCGCCCTCGCGCCCGCTGCCACATGCGGTGCAGCGCCGGAGGCTGAGCACCACAGGCGCGCCAGCAGCCTGGTGGCGTCCTGCGCCAAGTCGGCACTGGCCAGGCTTTTTGCCATCGAAGACCCCGCGCTCCCAGCCGAGACCCGCACAGGCATGCGAGCCATCGTGCTCAGGCAAGCCCTCTGGGATGCGGGGATGCGCCCCTGCGACTGCCGCCCCACCGCCCAGACATGCCAGCGCTGGAGAGATGCGGGTGTACAGGCAGCAGGCGCCGCCGCCGCCGCCACCGTCGCCTCGGTTTCGGCGGAAAGGCCGTGGCGCGTCGCCTGCCAGCACCTTGCCCCCAGAGCTGCCTGCCTGCCTGCCTGCCTGCCTGCCTGTGCTCCCTGCGCAGGATGAGCGACAATGCGCTCAACTACGCGCTCACCCCCCGCATCCTGAGCTGCCGGGCGGGCCACGTGCCGGACGACGGCGACATCGAGCAGCTGCTCAGGCGGGGCCTCGACTGCCGACGCAGCGGGGCCTCTGCTTGGCTGCCTTGCTGCATTGGCTGGCACCCGGTCCCCCCCTCTTTGCCATCCCTCCCATAGCAGGGTCCGCCGCACAGGCCACAACCCACCGACCAGCTCGCCCGCGCGCCCACGTGCTTGCGTCCGCCGCAGGGTGTACGGCGGGTGCATCTTCACCCTGGTGCCTGCGGTGGAGCGGGTGTATGCCGCATGCAGGCGGGAGGCGCCCCACGAGTACCGCAGCTCCTCCAGCCTCTGGCACATCATCCACCACTGCGAGCTGGCCAGGCTGGAGGCGCGCCGCTGCCACCTGCCGCCCGCCGCCTGCACCTGTCGCCGCTCCCGTGCGCCGCGACTCGCTGTACTGCGTGGTGCTGCGGTGCCGCGCCGTCAGCGGTGCTGCGCGGTGCTGCGCTGTGGGCTGCGCTGCGCTGAGCTGGCCTGTGCTGACCTGGCCCGTGCTGTGCGTGCTGTGCTCCCGCCTCCGCTGCTTTCTCTGCAGGACCTGCTCGTGCGTGCGGACGGCGGCCGCCTGTTCCGATACTGGCAAGAAGACCAGCTGGTGGGCCGAGGCTGGGGCGCTCTCTGCCTGGCTAGCGCCTGCTGCCTCTGCCGGGATGCCTGCCCACCCGCCCACGCGTGCCGGCCGCTCAAGGTGGCCAGCCACGGCGCCCGTAAGCGCCCGCGCGGCGGCCGCGCATCCATCCATTGTGCGATGCCCACGCAGTCTGCGCCCGATGCTCACCACTGGATGTCTAATGCATACATCCCCAAGTCCACTTGGATGCTCACATACCAGAGCCCGGGCATGTCGGTGGCGCTGCTCAAGGAGGGAGGTGGGCTGAGCGGCGGCCGAGGCAGGGAGGCAGGGGGGCAGGCAGGGAGGGAGGGAGAGCGACGGGATGGGACAGCTGTTGAAAGAGGAGGGGGTGGCATGTGCTGGGGGCGAGTGAGTGAGGGCTGGGCAGACCTGGACCTCTGGGCAGCTGCCGCCGCAAAAGGTGCCGGGCATCGTTGCGCTTTGGCTGTGGTTTGAGTCCACAGCTTTCCTGGTGGCTCGGTGCACTGGATTGTTTCGCGCAGCCTGCTCGCCTGCTGCCCGGCCTGCCTGCAGGGATGCGGCTGCTGTTTGAGCGGGTGAAGCGTGACGCACCGCGGCTGGCGGTGGACGGCAGCACCGGGCTGGGCGACACCTTCCCATGCCCCTGCGGCTGCGGCCAGGTCCAGTACAAGGTTGGGCGGCACCCGCTTGCTGCCCCAGCAGCGGCGGCAGCTGCGGCACCCTCTGCTCTTTTGCAGGAGCCGGATAGGCCGGTTTGTTACTGGCCCAGCCTGACCCGCGGCTGCGTGCAGGAACACCCGTTGGGCTGCTCTTGGGAGGTGGTGTATTGCGTCATCGACCTGATGGAGGGTTTGGGCGTCAAGGGTGAGCCTCCGACAAGATAGGCTTCATAAGCAATTTTTTTCTTTCTTTCTTTTCTTTTTGCCAGGCTGCCCTCGCATGCGCCCTCCGCCCCTCATGCAGACCGCAATGGCAGGCCCTTCAAGCGGCGCAGGGAGGCGCTGATGCGCCGCCAAAACATGTCCAGCCTAGCCCAAAGCATGGCGGCATGGTCCAAGCCGGCGTTCTGGCAGGCGAGCCTGGCCACGCACGCAGCCGCCCGCCACTCTCGCCAGTCCGGCGCGATGGCGGCTCAGCGAGCTTTAGCCTGACCTAATTCTCAGCTGGGTGGCATGCAGGATGTGATGGACAGCCTGGTAACGCCGCTGGAGCAGATGGCAGCGGCGCGCTGGAATGGGCAGCAGGCGGGGTGGCGCCCCCAGGGCGAGGTATCCCTGCGGCCGCCCTGGCTGGAGCGCCACGTCGCCTGCGGCTCCACCCCGCCCTCCCGCTGCTTGCAACACCCACGCAGGGCCTGGACGCTGACGGCCAGCCGCTGCCAGGCGCCCCGCACCTCAACCTGCTGTACCGCGACTTTGCGGTGTCGGCGCTGACCTGCTGCAACCCGGCCTGCGCCAACCTGGCGAGCGGCTCCGAGGGGGCGCTGAGTCGCAGCAAGTGCGCCAGGTGCAGGAGGGCCAGCTACTGCGGCAGGGGCTGCCAGCTGGAGGACTGGCCCAGGCTCAAGGCGGCGTGCCGCCACATGGACCTCCTGTAGGCTCCAACAACTGTTGTCCATTCGCGGGTGCAGCCCAGCAAGCGGCAGAGCAAAGCCTGAACGGGCGGCGGCAGCTTTGCAACACATTCTGCAAACTAACTGCTTCGTGCAGGATTCATCTCATGCATTCATGCGCTTTCTGTAATGAAGGCCTTCCCTGTGCCTGTCTTGCATCGCGCAAGCCGCGCACACCGCCCGCCTGCAGCGTGCGCAGCGCAGTGCAGCGCAGCGGGCTGGCAGAGTGAACACTCTTCCACATTTCGAGCACTGCGCTCCACTTCACGGCGTAAGCAAGGTCCGTCGAGCGTTGAGCCGCTGCCCCGTGACCGTGTTCAGCGATTTGCCTCGATCGCTCCTCCAAACCTTGTCGAACCCTACACCCCGCTGAACGAGCAGGTGCGCGCTGGCGAGGGCCCCGGTGCACAGAGCTACAGAATGCGAGGCTCTGACGGCGCTGGCGGGGCCTGCCCTCGTGCGCCGCGCACCACGCCAACTCCAGGGCACCTCCCTACAAAGCTGCAGGCCACTGCCATGGCAGAAGAGGGCAGAACGGTGCTCACAGGCCCGCACGCTGCGGCAATCGCCTCTGATCCAGGCAGCTCTGAGGATGCGGTGCGGACGCTGCTGGCGGCTGCCCCTGATGCCACAGCGGCAGCATCAACCACAGTAACGGTTCACGGGGAGGGCGGCCTCACGCTGCTGCACCTTGCCGCGGCCATGGGGAATGAGGCGGCTGCACGGCTGCTGCTGGAAGCCGCGCCATCCACCGCATCAGCATTGACGGCTGATGGCTCGACGCCGCTCCTCGCAGCCGCAGCGTGCGGCCACAGCGGGATCGTTAGTCTGCTGTTGGCAGCAGCGCCAGCCACGGCTCGAGCAGCCAACCTCCATGGCCAGCTGCCGATCCACTTGGCTGTGGCTGAAGGGCACTCCGAGTCGGTCCGCATGCTGCTGGCGGCTGCTCCCGACACAGCGCTCATCAAGCTCATCAGGAGCAGGGCTGCACCCCACTGCATCTAGCTGCTGGATCTGGCCTCGAGGTGGTGATTCAGGAGCTGTTGGCAGTGGCCCCCTCTGCAGCTGGCATAGCAGATGTCCATGGCAGGCTCCCGCTGCACGCGGCAGCATTGAGTGAGAATGAGGCTGTCGTGCGCCAGCTGTTGGCCGCTGCGCCAGCCACAGCAGCAGCAGTGGACAAAAAAGGACGCCCCCCGCTGCACTATGCGGCGGCCAGCGGGCACTGCGCCACGGTGAGGCTGATGCTGGAGGCAGCGCCGCATACGGCCAGCTTTGTCGATGTCGATGGCCTCACGCCGGTCTGGGCGGCAGCGGCGGAGAACCACCCCCAGGCACTGAGGCTCCTGCTGGACGCAGCCCCGGCCACAGCCACCACCCACACTCCCGATGGGGCAACGTTGGTCCACTCGGCAGTCCGACATGCAGCCGCAGAGGTTGTTCAGCAGATTCTGGAGGCTGTGCCCGCTGCTGCCACCGCCGCCGACCAGCATGGCTGCCTCCCGATCCACCATGCAGCCCAGGCTGAAGGGGACCACGCTGACGTTGTGCAGCTGCTGCTGGCTGCTGCATCAGACACGGCAACGGCAGTTGATCGGGACGGGTACACCCCGCTGCACTTTGCGGCATCACAGGGCAACAGCGCAGTTGTGCAGAACCTGCTGGCAGCCGCCCCAGGTACGGCCACAGCTGTCGACAGCAGAGGGGCGACGCCGCTGTTGCTGGCGGCATTCAAGGGACACGCCACAGTCGTCCGGCAGCTGCTGGCGGCTGCGCCAGAGACGGCAGAGGCGGAGGCTGAGGACGGGATCACTCCTCTGGCACTGGCTGCAAGGCAAGGCCACCTGGAGGTGGCTGAGCTGATCCTGGAGGCTGCGCCGAGCGCTTGGGCCACCGGCAAACTTGTCCCGCTGAAGGCCGCTTTGCCGCGAGGGCACCTGGAGATCGCGCGGCGCATCATTGCGACAGAGCACCAGGAGGCGTTGGCGGGAAAGTGCGATGGCAAGGATGCTCTGGAGCTGCTGGGCTCGCTGCCTCCACACCCTGCAGCCGACGTGCTGCCGCTGTGGCACGACGTGGTCAGCGGGCCGCCTCTGCTGCCAGAGGATTGGGAGCTGGTGCCGGCGCCCTGCCCCGGCCTGGGCCGCGCCCTGCCCGCCGTGCTGGCCGGCAGCGAGGAGGAGGCGGGGCTGCTGGTGGCGCGCCTGCCCCTGCAGCAGCGCCTGCGCCTGAGGGCCCTGGCGCTTGGCATGGCGCACGCTAGCCGCCACACGCTGCCTGCCGCTGTCAACGCTAAGATCCTGGCTCTGGCGGCAGCTGTCATGGCGGCTGACGCCCTGCCAGCGGCGGCACCCAAATGAGGGGCAAGGCCCCACCACCACATTTTCCCAGGACAATTTGTGTATAGCATGTGCGGTGCATGTACAGGCACATTCTTCCTCTGCATTAGCGTTCTTCCAGGATCTCGGGCAACATGAACAGATGGAGAAGTTGCAAGCAAGTCAGGCACAGGACGACTGTGTGTGGTTGGTGCCGTACAGTGCTGCATCGGACTACAGCGGAACTGGAGTTGCGTGCGGTGTAGGAGGAACAGGCCACTGCCTAACCCGCTACTTGCGCAGGAGACGCCTGCCGCCGTCAGTGCATGATGGAGCTGGGGCTCTGCCCGGGCGCCGCCACGCAAGTGATTGGGTGGGGCAGGCGGCACATGGGGCGCCAGCGCCGCCTGTCGCCGCCCTCCGCCCCCAGCAGGTGCCCGGTGTCTGTGCCCACCAGCGCCTGGCCGCCGGCAAAGTAGGGCACCGGGGTGCAGCTGCCCCTGGCCTGCAGGCGTGCGCAAGCGGCATGCAGCGAAGCCAGTGCTGTGAACACAGCTTAGCTCTTCCTCTAGCGCGCCGCACGCTGCTGCAAAGGTGCTCGCCAGCCAGCCAGCAGCCAGGTGCAGACTCAGCCTTGCTGGCCCCGCCCACTCTCACATCTCCAGCTGCAGCCGCACCCTGGGGCCCACCTCTGCACACTCCGGGCTGCCGAACACCGCCTCTGTGATGTCCTCCCAGCTGTCGCCGCCGTCTGTGCTGCGGTACAGGTGCACGCCGACGGCGGGCGGCCGGTCGCCCGCCGCCACCAGCACCTCGCCCTGCGGGCAGGAGGCAGGCAGGCAGGCAGGCAGGCAGGCAGGCAGGCAGGCAGGCAGTGACAGAGGGGGCTCAGCCTGGGGCAGCGGCAAGGCAGACCAGCATGGCCAGCAGGCGCTCTGAAAGCGCTGCCACAGCTCAGCCCAGCCAGCCAGCCCGGCTCTGGCCAAGACGCCGCGCCGCAACTGCACCACCAGCCCACCGTCCCATCACACACCCTGCACTCTTTATTGAAAGCCAGGCCGACGGTGTATCGCCCCGCCCACGTGCCGGGCGCCTGCTGCTGCCAGCTGGCGCCGGCGTCGCGCGTGACGTACAGGCCGCGCCCTGCACGCACGGCGCGGCCAATGCACGCTTGCCTGTCGGCAGGCCGCGGGCAGCAGGACGCGCAGCGCGCGCGCGCGCCCATGCACCACCACGCCAGCCGGGCACGACAATACTCTGGCGCTGCGTTGAGCATGCCCATGCGGCTCGTGTGCGACGCCCCCCAGCCCGCCAGCTGTCGCCAGCTGCCGCCAGCCCCAGCCCCACCTCACCTGTGACGGTCAGCCAGCGGGACGGGTCGTGCGGGTCGATGCGGCAGCTGTGCACATCCGTGAACAGCCCCTTGCTGCGCTCCTCCCACGGCCCGCCGCCGCCCGCGTCGCGGCTGACCAGCACGCCGCCCACCTCGATCCCCGCTACCAGCTGCACCTGGCCCGCGCCCGGGTCGGCGCCGCCGGAACCGGCGGCGACAGGCAGGGGCTCGATGCTGAGCACGTGCGGCTGGTGCGGCGGCGCCGGAAACTTCCACTGCGCGCGGCTGGGCGCAGCCGCAAAGCCGTCCGTGCCCTCAGAAAAGGTGCGGCCGCCGTCCAGGCTGCAAAACACGTCGGCTGGTTCGGTGCCCACTGCCAGGCCTAGGCCGCCGTCGGGCTGGTCCCAGGCGCAGCAGCTGCGGGCGTCGCCCTTCCACACGCGCTCTGCCGCGGCAGGCGCGGCCTCGTCGCCGCCGTCGGCGCGGCGCAGCAGGTGCAGGCCGCTGTCCTGCGGCCCCGGCTGCTCGTGGCTCCTGCACAGGCGGGGTGAGTGCACCAATCTCGGCATGCCTCTGAATATGTTGCCAGGCTGGCCTGATCCACCATTGCTGCAACGTCACTCACGTGTACATGGTGTGGACGGGGCCCAGCACGGGTACTGCTGCTGCCGCCGCGCCGCTGGCGCTGGCCGACAGGTGCGTGATCACTTGGCCCTGCAGCGCGACGAGCCTCGCGGAGCCATCATGGGCAATCTTGTACACCCCACCGGTGGTCCCCAGCAGCAATGACTGCAGCATGTCGGCGCTCGTCTGTCTCCGCCCAGGAGCAGGGCCTCCCTGTTTCGGACGATGCAGGTCGCGGACGCAGTGGACGAAGCAAGAATGTATGGAGGAGCTGATCGGCCCGGGAGCCTCTGCAGGAAGTCCGGTCCAGCCTGGCGTGACGTCAGCCCGCCGCCACATTACATCATCACATAAACCTGCTACCCTGGGCGGCACTGGGGCAGGACTTAATACATGTGCACATGTCAGTGCAGATCATGCATGCGTTGGCGACAGAACCGTGGAGGCCGTCAGGTCAGAAGGGGCCAGCAAAACTGCCGCCATATGAAAAGCTCAGAAGGCACGGTTGCAAAAGGGGGAGAAAGAATGTCGCAGCGGATTGACAACAAAATTGGTTAATAATTTATTTCAATGTCGAGAAGGTCGAGCAAGGATCAAGATGGCAGCTGGGCAGGCGGCATCGGGTGGTGGGCCGCGCCATTCACACTGGTAGCAATGGGCGAGCCGCCCTGTGGCGAAGCCGGCAGCGAGCCCGCCACCGCTGCTAACGCGGCTGCCTTGAGCGCATTGGTGCTGGGCGAAGCCGAGGCGCTGATAGCATCGCTGATCCGCTTCTTCAGCGTCCCCCTCATGCTGCTGCTGCTGTCCCTGCAAGCGGGGCAGAAGGATGGCGCACCCAACGAGGCAGGCGCAGTCGGTGGCAGCATGCAGCGATGGGATGGGCGGCATGATGCCGCTGGAGGGAGCAGGCCTGGTGCCACAAACGGAGCGGCAGATGCTGGGTGGCACAAGCAGCGCACCGCTTGGTGATGGCATCCTGTATGCGCGCTGTGGTGCGGGTCAGCTGCTGCTCCCGCCCTGCCTCTGCCGGCCGAGTCATCCAGGGGTGCTCCATGACCTGCAAGCGGGGGATGTGGCAGGCCTGGTGGGGTGGTGCACGCACTACCAGTGGTAGAAACAGCACCCCTCCCAGCGGTTAAAGTATCTTCACGGTATATCACAAGCCGCATGCGTGGCAGCCCCGCCATTCCCCCATATCCCCCCCACCTGCTGGCAGGTCAGCCTGCTGGCTGGGTCCACCACCAGCAGCTTGCTGACCAGGTCCTTGGCCTCGCCGGAGATCTGCAGCCCACAGGGGAGGGCAGGGGTGGCAGCCGGCAGGGCAGGGCAGCAGTTGGATGCTGCCCAGGGGAGCAATGCCTGCCAACCCCGGGCAAGGCGGGCCTGGGCCCACGCTCCACATGCATGCACAGGCCCAAAGCGCCAGGCAGCCTGCTGCCCTCCCTCCCCCCTCACCTCCTCCCACACAGGGTCGTCCAGGCTGTACTTGCCGGCCATGATGGAGCGCAGCAGGCGCGGCTCGCTCTTGTCGTGGAAGGGCGGCACCCCCGCCAGCAGCATGTACAGGATGACGCCTGCAGGCGGGGCAGGGTAGGCAGGCGGGGAGCACGAAGCACAGGCAGGATCAGCTGCCGGCGCTGAGGTGCCTGCAGCTGGGCATGCATGCGGATGGCCGCCAAGCGTGACCAAGCGGTCCATGCCACTGTGCCCGCGTGCCTGCGGGCGAGCCGCAGGCGGGGGCCCCAGCCGGCGTCCAGCAAAGCAAACACACGAGGGTGCCCGCCCGTCTCCCACCCTGCGCTGCCACTCGCCTGCCGACCACAGGTCACAAGACTCATTGTAGCGGTGGTCCACGCTGCTGGGCTGCGGGTCTCCCGAGGGCTTCATGATCCCCAGGATGACCTCCGGCGCGATGTAGCCTGCACACAGGAAGGAGGTGGGCACCGGGTGGGCCCCGCAGCAGCGCAGCAGGGCGGGAGGGCCAGGCATGCGGGCGCGCGAGCGGCGGGCGCGCAGGCAGCCGCCTGGCCGCCGGGCATCACCTGGCGTGCCGCACACGGTCTTCATACCATCCAGGCCGCCGTGCAGCTTCTTGGCAAACCTGCGAGGGGGCGCAGGTTCCACACACGCCCGCGTGAAGGCGAGCCCAGGGCACCAGGCTGGTCTGCGGGCGACCCACGGCAGCAGTGGCGCGCGGCGCTGTGCCCTGCTGCCCCTCCAGCACCCCCAGCACCCCAGCAGCAGCAGCAGCCGCACCCAAAGTCTGCCAGCTTGATGCTGCGGATGTCGCCGGGCTCCACCAGGAGCAGGTTATCCAGCTTGAGGTCACGGTGCACCACCCCCCTGCAGCCAGCCATGGTGGTACCTTGCCCGGTACCCCAAGTGACGCCAGCCAGCCATGATGGTACCTTGCCCGCAGCGAGTGCATCCACCCGACAGTGCCGGCAATGCCCACAAACATCCCCAGGCTGGTGCGACGGAAGCCCCGCCAGGGGGCGTGCAGCCAGGCAGGCATGCAGGCTGCCGAGCGGGGGGGCCTCCAGGGCTCACTTGGAGTGCAGGTACTGGAGCGCCTCCATAAGCTGGCGGAAGATGGTGCGCGCATCGGCCTCGCTGTAGTGACCCTGCAGGCGAGGCGCACGGGGAGGCGGCGCGGCCGCCCTCAGTCAGCCTGGGCCCCTGGCGCTGCACTCCCCAGGCCGGGGGTGCCTGGCTGCCGCGGCGGGCTGCAAGCATCAGGAGCCTGTGTGCCCGGCTGGCGCTGGCGCAGGACAGCTCTGCCAGCGGCGCGGCGCGGGACTCGGTCGCCGACCGCAACCGCAGCCCACCTCTGCCCAGCACACCTCGCACCCCGCACAACAGCGCAGCACAGCACATACACACAACACGCAGCAGCCGCGCACCCCCTCCACACACACACACACACACACACACACCACCACCACCACCCACCTGCTCCAGCACCGCGTCCAGCAGCTCCCCGCCGCGCAGCAGCTCCATGATGAGGTGCACCCTGTTCTGCTGCACAAAGTACTCGCGCAGCTCTATGACGCGCGGGTGGTCCAAGTCTAGCAGGGCATCGATCTCCTGCAGGGGCAGGGGCAGGGGCAGGTACTCGCGTCGTTGCATCGTGCGTGTAGGGGCGGGGGCGAGGGGCGAGAGGGGGAGGGAGGAGAGCCTGCCAGCCTCCAGCAGCCCTCCGGCCCCCGCATGCGCTGCCGCTCCTCCCGCCCCGCACCTACCTTCATGATGGCGGCTCGATCGGAGAGATTCTCGTTCACCGCCTTGCCGGGGCGCGGCAGCGGGATGATCTTGCAGGCAAAGGCCTGGCCCGTGGCGCGGTGCGTGGCCAGGCGCACGCGCGAGAAGCCTGCGGGCGGCGGCGGCGGCGGCTCAGCGGCGGCGCGGCTGGGACCAGCAGGCTGGCGCGTGCCAGCGGGTGGCGGCCGAACAGATGTCGGGCAAGCGATGCGTCAAGCAGGCCCTCACCTCCCTCCCCTATCTGGGCACCCAGCTCGTATTCCTGCTCCAGCGACGCATCTGTGCGCAGCTTCTTGCCATCCCTGCGGCACGCAGGCGGCGGCACGCCAGCGGCCCCATCTTGGGCATCCACGGGAACAAGCATCAGAGGTTTCTGAGGCGGGGCTGGGCAGGGCAGTGTGCAGGCAGGCAGCGGAGATGCCCCGGCGCGAGCTGGTGCGACGAGTGAAAGGTGCGCTGAGCAACCGCTGCAGCCGGCTCACTCGGGGTAGGGCACTGCGTAGACGTTGGGGGCCTTGCTCGGGCCTGCAGGGCTTGACGCACAGCCGCCCATGGCCTACCCGGCAGGCTCCAGAGCGGACGTCGGGCTGGCCTGCAGGCGCAGGGCGGGCGAGGGCGGTGGTGGGCGGCGGCGGCGGCGGTGGCGGGGCCCAGGAACGTCAGGCGCCGCATGCTCCAATTCCCTCGGCCGGCATGTGCTCTGACACCGAGCTGGCAGCGTCCCACACACCCTTGGCTTGCCTAAGCTCGCAGGAGGTGCCGCCGTGCAGTGTGCACAGCCAGGATGTCGTCCCGAAAGTGTTTGTGAGTGATCGGCGACGGCAAAAAACAAGCGTGTGGCTCCCAATTTGCCAGAGACAGCGGGACCCTTTTTCTCGAGCACAGCACACAGCACTACACATTCAAGGGGCGAAACGTGCAGCATGTGCAGAATGTGGCATGCGTAAAAACTGAAAAGGCCAGAGGGCGGTGTGCCGGTTGCGGGGCAAGAAGAGCGCATGGGGCGGCATGGGTGGCTGCTTTTCCGGCTCTGCGGCTCTCTGCGACATGAGTGACTACCCAGAGTGAGCAGGATGGGCGCTGGGTGCCCCTGCCGGCGCAGCTCGGCCGCCATGTCGGCGGGACGGTGCGCCTCACGCCTGCCCTGGCTTCGTCACCCGCCCCCGCCGCCGCGCTCCTTCGTCTTTGCAGGGCCGGCAGGAAGCTGCGCACGGATGCTACTGTCGAGGAGGTGTATGCGCTGGGTGCCCTGCTGGGGCAGGGAGGTGGGTGGCCCTACGCCGCCAAGCTGTCGTGCCCGTTTGGCTGCCAGCTGCGGGGCAGGA